TGAAACTCTCTATGTTTATTACAAAGCATTGCACATTTCATCCTTGTGAATGTTTCTTTCAACTCCGTCATTCCAAGATCAAATTGACAGTTGCCATCTGTAACATGTAATGTATACTCTTTTTGAAGGTCTTCAATGAAGTAATCATATAACCGCCTAGATTTTATATCACATAGTTTCTGTAAACGTCCAAATATCATCAATTCTATTTCAAAATGTTCAGTGTTTACTTTCATAAAATCACTTTGTATCCAATCGTTTCTAATTGCTGAAAAGATCTTTTGAATTCTAAGCAAGCTTTTAGTTTCAAAACCCAAATTTAAAAAATGTAAGATCGGTTTTAAATGACCTCTGACAATTATATCTGATGCTTGAAGTATACCTTTCTGAAATAGTTCGACATCAACAAATGTTTTATTGCTGAGACATATACACTTATTGCTAAATATAATCGGATTATTCTTATTTTCTCCAAAGTGTCTGCATTTATCTAATTCTTGCCATGCCTTCAACATGTCTTTATAAAAAGATGGTATACCCTTCAATTCCATTTTATTTATATCATAATTACAAAGAAATATAATTCGACCCCCCCAGTGATCTGAAAAAGTGGTCAAAGGTTACTTTCCAACCTGAATACTTTTCTCCATAGAGCAACCGTTTGATCCACATTATTCTCTGAGTCTTGATAAATATCTTAAAATTCGTTACTCTGAGTCCCCCAGCGCAGTAATCTTGATATAATATTTTCCGTTTTATTCTGTCTCTCCCTCCCCAAATAAAATTAAAAGAAATCTTTTCGATTTCTTCAAAAATGTTTTGTGGGACTGTCATAAGAGACGAAACATAATTTAGTTTTGAAAATACATATATCTTCAACAATTTAATTTTGCCAAACATCGTTAAATCTCGTTGCTTCCACCAACCGATTAGTCTTTTGATTTTGCTCAAAATTTCCTTATAGTTCAAATCATCATGTTAAGTTGTAGCCACCTGCACAGCGCCCTCTGGAGCAACATGTACATGTATTCACTTCTTTTATTTTATCTAGAGCAGCATGCCTATGCATGAACACAAGGCTTGTTAACTCACTCCTTTCTTTTCTAATTGTTAAGGTTAACACCATGTTTTTAATCCGTTTGAATTATACTTACAATGAATTGACCGTTGAATCTAGAACAGACGACAGGTAGTTATTATTAATCGTTTTTCTTTCCCGGCATCCACGTGACTCTTTACAAATTTGGTTGGCTCCGCTGTTCACACTTTTCTTGATTTTGTTTCATGCTGAATAGATCAATATTGTAATAATAATAATAATATTAATCATGATGATGATCATCATCACCTTTCTCATCTGCAATTTCTTTCTACTATTAGGTAATACATTTGTTCAATCCTATTTTGATATTTTGATAAAAGCAGCATTCGGAATCCCCCTTTCCATATACATACGTATACACAATATACAAGACACTCTTTGAAAATAAAAGAATTAAATTATGATTACCTTGATAATCATCGAGTTGTTTCAGATTAAGATTTTATTGTACTATTTATATACATGGAAAGTGCCCATTCTGTCATAATATGTCATAATAAGTTGCATCCAAATCTTGACAGAACGCACATTCTTTAATATGGTTGTGAACAACATTATCCAGGATAGATGCAAGCAACCCCTGAGACTTGAAAGCATTAAAAAAAAATATAGGTTAGTTTCATTAATGATCCCTCCCAGCATACAAATGAAGGGAACATACTAATTACTATCACAGTATCATATTAGAATATGATAACTGTACAAAGTATCAAAAGTCATATACACTAATAATCAATTGGAAATGAGACATTAAACAGAAGAATCATTAAAACTCAAAACATAATATCTTACAATGTGAGTCAATGAATTCACGAGAACACTTATACAGTTATCTCATTAGCAATGCTTGGTAAATATGAAAGAAATAATATTATATACAAATCGGAAGACGTTTACTATGTAATACAAAAATGAATGCTAAAAATAAAGTCCTTCATTAATTTTACATATCGTCACATTGATAGTTACCATCACATTTTTACTTTTATATGAATGCGGTGTATATTAATTTCAATTTAATACGATTCAATTTGATTCAATTTGGTTCAATTTGTATTTTTCCAAGGTAAAACCATGGAAATTTTACATGGAAATTGTTTTACAAGGAATAGAAAATAGATATGTAAACAACAAAAACAGTAATAATCGGAATACATGAATGATAAATATACATGTACATAGAAGTTGACATCTTAGACATTAAAAGGTAAAATAACCCATAGAATGAGCACTAAGAAAGAGTAAAGGGGAAAGGTGTGATAGAGAAAGAAGGACAGCAGATCGAGGTGGAGAGAAGGAAATGAGTCAGAAGAAGGAGACGGACACAGAGGGAAAGGGAAATGGAGCTGATGCGAGGTAAAGAACAGAGAAGTAGAAACGGCTGCAAGAAGAAAGAGAGAATATCATGATAAAGGACATACACAAAAAAGATAATGAACTCCGTTTATGAAATTAGTTAAACATTCGTACATTGACATGAAAGCACAACAGAAGATAATTAAGAAAAAGATAATATAATACGAAAGAACCGGGAATTTAGAAGGGAAGGAAACTGACGTAGTATGTGCTGAGCACCATTCATGAAAAGTGTTGTTTTTTAATATAATATATGTAGGCAGGGTATGATGGTTTTTCGAATTGGTTGCTATTCGCATATTCCATTCAAGAACGTTAATTGCGCTGGTCCATTGAAAACTAATTGATAGAACTCGACAATGAGGAGAGAGAAACAGTGACAGAAAGAGAAGGGAGGGTTGTAGACCTATACATTTGAATTAGAGACTGGAGTAAAAATCAAATAGTTGTAGAATGAATTTTATTTCAATGATGTGGACAAAAGTCTGACTACTTCAGAGTACAAAATAATAGAGTTCTCGGATTAGTAAGGGTTTCATTAAGCAACATAACAATAAGTAATTATTTATACAGCGCATTGTACTGTCTGTTAAGTCCCTTTGCGCTGTAAATGGTAATGCAGAATAATTGTATTCTGAAAACTAATTACAATAACAAATATAGTCATGCTCATTAAAATACACCAAACTACAGATAAATTGGAACATATACACAATACACGAAAAGATAGTACATAGATAAAAGTAGACAAATTAAAGGCACATTATATTATTTACATTTAGTTAATAGAGCCTACATTATAACCACATTAAAATTGTCATGTTAACATATTTGTCAATTTATATTACAATACACAAATGAAGATGAATGTAATTCATCACTGCTAAATCCAAGATAAGGGTTTCTAATATATATAGTTAGTTAGTCATGTGTGCAACGAAATAGACCTACGTTGTAAATTAACGACGAACGACATTCTTTATAATCTAATCAATATATATAAAATACTCAAGTTTCAGTAAACAATATTTTGCTGATACCGAATGGAATACTTGATATTGATAAATCATGTTAATCAACACAAATACTCATAGTAATACCGCCACAACAACAAAATCGTCAATAAGACCACAACAATAACAACACAATCAACTACTACTACTACTTCTACTACTACTACTATTACTATTACTAGTGATAAATTGTGCCTTGGAATATTTTCGCAAAATGCGGTAATGTCTCAGTGCGCTATACAATAAACATGATAAATACAGAAATATTTTCAAAATATTAAGCTTTATGCTACATGAATTACTCTCAATTATGTTCTTGCATTGAATGTAAAAGTGTACAATCACTAGTTGAACTTGTAAAAATACAGCTGATTGGATATTTAAAATTCCTATGCATTTATAGTTAGTCAGTAATTAATAACAAGATAAAAAGACATTCCTAAGGGCACATATCATTTGGCTACGTTATTTACAAACTATCAACAGACACAATTACCACCTCAAATATATCAGACAAGATTGTTTTCCCTTTCAAAATGAAAATCATAAATCATAAGAAACCTTTTATGTGATACTTGCAACAGTACATACACAAGATATATTGGATAAAACAACTATACAGTATTGTATTTGTGAATTAAAAGTGGTCTTCATTTGGCCTTTTTTTTTGGATGGTCGATATAGGCCTTAATATATGACGAGATACATTCCTTTATTTCCTATCTATATTTTTGGTTTCAATTATCAAACACAAAGACAATAGGCCTGCAAGTTAGCAAATTGCATGACCTTGTCCAATAGTGTGTTGTTAATAGATGATGGGGTATTAATAGAGTATGAGTACGTGGCTCAGAATACGGTAAAATAAAAACGGTCAGCATTTTTGTTTTGATTTTTTGTTGGTTCGTTTATATAGTTCGTTCGTTTATACTTTTTATTCTTTGTATATATTCATTTATTTTTTTATTTTTGCATTACCGTTTGCATATTCGATATTGATATATTTTATTTTTTTTCAACAAATTAATCTCACTTGTTCATGTTTGCCGTGTGTATAGTCTCTCATTTATAGCATCCCTTTTGGTTCTAAGGAGACCTGACTAATAAATAAATCATGAAAGACAATTGATTCTAATGGCACAGACATCATTTTGACAATGCCTGTTGCACACGAGGTTGCGTTTAGATTGCTTTGTTTCCTTGCTTTAACCGAGCTAGGTGATTCCGACTATAACACTCTTAATTCGAAGAGAGGTTTGCACTGTTTGATTTGCATTAACTTTTCGGTGCGATATTACTCTCTTATGGTGCGTCAATGCCTCCGCCAGTCGCTGACGCAAGCATACTTTGGGCTAACTCTGCATCGCGTTCGTTCTCTTCATAGCAAATGTGGTGAGTAAAGCACTGCCAGTTGCACAATTCAAATTCGAATAGAAATATCACTGTATTTTTTATAATATTTTTATATAATAATTTATATATGATTTTTTATATTATATTTTTCCATCATACCTTTAAGAAAATTTCAATCATGATATTTTTATATTTTCACCGTGTAAATCTACTTAACACCCTTTAAAGTATATTAGATGCAAGAACACTGAGAGTAACATTAAGAATGAAATTCAAAATCACAATCACAAGAGCTGCAATACCGATGTAAAGCATACATATCCGTCTATATCATATGAATGTCAACGGGACTCACTGCATGAATAATGAAATCGATTGCATGACAATGGTAAAAGCAAAAGTTCGATGATGTGTTTGAGGCACTTTTCATTTCAGCCCACAATTCCTGTTTGAGTGCAAAGATTGTCAGCTCCGTCTGATTCGTCAGATCGAGTGTGGTACCATCTCTATGATATCTAAAAGAAATTATCACTATAGTGATGGAGAGAAAGAGAGAAAGAATTGGAGAGAGAGATGTGTAAATGTCTGCATCAACATATAGTCAGCGCTACATTAAAACATAAAAACGTAGAGCAGTGAACGAAGGGCAAAGCAGAAAGCTTCAATAACACACAGCTTTACATCGATCAGAACCATCTTTACTCATTTGATTTTAAATAAAATTGAATTTATTTTCTTCTCCAACATGCAAATGGGCGAAATCTGTTTAATCTTATCTATTTAAAACTGAGAAAATGTCTAATACAAACATGCGCGAATAATGTAAAGAAATAGGCCAACATGTAATGAGAAAATAGTATAAATACCTTAAGTTCATCACTTCGCTAATCCGGTAATCTAAGCCAATTATTCAATATGCACCCTTGAACATTCATGATACACATTTCCAAAGGAATATTAATTTACATGCACGCCATTTGTTAACTCTTTGTTACATCTTGCACCGATTAATTGATGAGAGACTATGAGTGGTACATAATGTCAGTTCCTATCATTCTCGATGAAAACGAAGAAAAACATTTAAACATAGTAACTAACACTTATTTATGTAAGCTTTGTCTATTATAGCATACACTCTAGTCAGCCAGTAAGTCGTTAGAGGAGATGTCTACCTTCATATTAAATATGTTCAGTAGAAGCAGAACAATAATAGAACAATTCGGTGAAAGTTTCAGAAAAATCGGACTACAAATAAGAAAGTTATGAATCTTTCAAAATCATGGAAATCATGGAATCTTTGTCATGCAATTACAGTTTTAAGATACTATGTCCCTTGTGCAGCCAACATCAAATTCTGAGAACTTTGCAGGAATTATTAAACGTACGACCATTCGGTACAAAGGTCTAAATTTCAGACTTTTACTTAGGTAATTGCAATCACAATATGTCGATTCGACAACGAATAGTCGTCACGGTTATTTTCCCACAAAAAGCTATTTTCAAACCTTTTCTTTTTAAGGGAAGTTCTGAATAAGTATCGTCTTTTAAATGCTGTTGCAATTCAACCGTTTCATTTTTTGACCTGCAAATGGGACATGTAGAACCTTGAGCACTGCAAGCCTGGAAGTAAGAGTCTGAAGGACTTACCCACGTGGTTTGCCATGCTCCACCTCCACCTCCATGACCTGGTCTTTATTGCAAGCCATTATGACACCATCCACGCCCTCATCTGACCCGCATCGTATGAATCTACCAATATCAAAATAGACGGAATAGAAGCATTTATCCTTTGGTGCTTCTCGTGATTTTTCGTATTATTTTAATTTGATTCTACAAGATGGAAATGCTCATTAATAATTGAGTGTATTCTGGATAGGACTCAATGATGGGAGAGAGAAAGAGAGAGAGAGAGGGGGGGATAAAGAAATGAAACATATCAAAGTGTTCTTTTAACAAATGACATCATTTCTCACCTGATAATCTTCAGATATTTGAGGTTGTGAGGTGATCTGAAAGCTTGTAAGATTAGTTCCATCTTACTGTTACCAATGTCAAGATCCCTGAATGTCACCTTGACAAACTGAGGGGAGATAATCAGGAGGGCTTTGGGTAGTGAAGTGGGCTCCTCGTGGAAACCAGCCGGTAGACCTGCACTCTCATGTGTTTGAATAGTGAGTTCTGTTGTTCCTGGTAGATGGATCCTCTGGATGACGTCACATTTGATCTTGCTCCCTACCTGTATAGTGACCCTCTTCACATTGTCAAACATCGAACCACAATCCTGCCATCCTTTTAGTGTGTCACAATCCACTGTCAGCTCAGTCAGGGTGGGGCTCGTGTTACAACTCTGGTCGTGATCATGTACAATTATTTAAAAAAAAAAGGAAATTAAAGTGCACTAGCAAATGTAGTAGGCTTGATTGCTTTTAAATATATACAGTCATGTAATTGCGTTCTTAAATTTTACGGAAAATGTGACAAAAATCATGAAAATCACTAATGCTAGCCTCATGGGTATTGTAGAATATAAAAAAAGATTTAAAAGGACATGAGCCGAATAAATGCGAAAAAGCTTTTGCAAATGCAAATATAAGTTGCATGATAGTCAAAGTTATAAGAAATGTATCATTAATTATATCCCAATAGAAATATGTTAAACGCAGGTACAGTTTATAGTTTAGTTTCAGTTTCTTTTATTTCACATGAAAACAAAAAATACAATACATTAACAAAACATAGCATATTTATAAAATTGATATTCGTGAACCATAAAGACATCTACATAGCATAAGTTTGTATGGCATTTACACTAAATAATTTCTAAATTACATGTGAAAAAAGGAACTTAAAAAAAAGCATATAGCTTGTAGAATTTAAGTTCCTCAAAATAATTTTGACATTGTGTCATTCATAATAGGGTAGAAATATAATAATAACACAATCAGAGTATACATACAAAAACAATGTAATGATATGGATGATGTATGAAAGAAAGAAGATAGGAAGAGAAGGTAAATAATGGGGGTCAGAAGAAGAATAAGGAGAGAGAAAAGGAAGTTTTTATAATAGAATGTTGAAGGTCGGGAGTCACAGTCGGGAAAAATATAGTATCGTTGTGCATAACATGTACGAATTCAATAATAACAATTTGATATGTTTTTTAAAACTGCCACACTTTTTAAGCTGTTTGAGATTCAGATCAATGGTGCTCCAGTAGTTTGGTCCTGTGTATGAAATAGTTTTTGGGCGAAAACTGTCCTGGTTAGAGGAAGATGATAGTTTGTACGTGTTGCAGGTCGTGTTTGGTATGTGTGTACAGTGTCATTTTTTGTAAAGAGTTCAATTATGGCTGATGGGAGTTCTTGGCGACACAGCTGAAACATGAATATACCGAGATGTGAAAAATAAAAATCTTTAACTTTTAAAGTTTTGTCTTTCGAAAATAAAGGGTCAGTTTGTGAGCAATAGTGAGTATTATTTATCACTCAGATTGCACGTTTCTGTAAAAGAAGTATTCTATCGATATATATGGTGTTTGAATTACCCAAGCAAGAATTCCAAAGTGTAGATAAGGCAGTATCAGGGTTGAGTAAAGAGATAATAATATTTTGTGAGGGAATTGTAGTCTAAATGTGTTTATAATAATAATAATAATAAAAATAATACAGCATTTATTATGCGCCATCGATCTAGTAAACTATTTTGAGGCGCAGAGGGATAGAATTAAAATGAGATACATAGAGAAATGAGAAGGGGGAAGAAACAAAAAATGTATAGATGTACATTCAACATATAATTAACTTAAATAACCTTCGAACATATATGACTTTAGATTCTTTTTAAATGTTTCAAGGGATTCTAGTGATCAATATTTCGCGAAACAAGTCGGCAAAGTATATCGATGTGTGTTTTCCATGATAGTTTGTTGTCGATGTATATTCCAAGAAATGCTGTAGATTGAACACAGTCAACGGCTGCTCCATTTTTCGTTATTATTATTATTATTTATTTGACATATATATACAGGATCACAAAGAAACAATCGAATCAGCAAAGCTGTTTTTCATCGATGTCCTGTTAACATGATTAAACATTTCCAATTCTAACCAATGGGATTTTTTTCATTACATCAGTCAAAAAATACACAGAATGCTGTAAAATGCAAAAAACACAATATTAGAAATTCGTTTGAAAGAAGTTAATGAATGCCAATCTTATTTGTTGAGTGAAAAAAATATAATAGCAACAATAAAAACGGTTAAGAATCCCCATGGTTAGAATCCATATAAATATTTTACATAAGAAAGCATCTGCAATACAATATACAATAAATACATAAATATAAATATATCACATAAAATGAGATAAACAAACTTTGATGAACGATTATCATGATTATTAAGTACGGCGGGCCAGAACATGTAAAACTGATTTTTTTTTTTATTTCAGTAAAATGTGCGTTTATAACTATTTTTGAAAGAGGAAAGAGTATGATGATTTTGCATTTCATTTGAGAGAATTACATGGTTTCGGGCCTGAATATCAAAACGATTGCTTGAATAATTCAGTATTTGGTTTTGGTAAGACCACATTGAGTGAGTCAGAATTGCGAGTGTTGAAACCATGTATATCACAAAACATTTCAATTTCATTACATAGTCTTACTGGAGCATTACCGTGTATACATCTGAACATAATCATATTAATAAAAAAATCTCTCCTAGTTTTAAAAGTTTGCCATTTCAAATCTTTAAATAGTTTAGAGACGCTGATATCGCGTGAACCATACTGTTTCGACACTATACGGGAAGCTCTTTTCTGTACATGACGAATATAATCACGGTATTTAAGTGAACAGTTTCCCCACACTGAGCATGCATAATCAATACATGGTTGAATGGTTGCATTATATAAAGTAATAGCAGGGACGTGTTTAGTGTGTTACTTAATCTTCGTAATAAGAAAAGTTTATATGCAAAGGCTTTGACACACTTGTTTGACATGTTCATGCCAGGTTAAATGACAATCAATATTGACACCTAGATATCTCGCCGAATCACCCTGTTTTAGTTTGGTGCCAGTTAAACATACGTTTAGTTCATTTTGGTTGCAATTAACTCTCGAGGATACAACCATAACATGAGTTTTATCAATATTAATCTTTCACTATTATTATTATACCATTTCTCAAATTCGTTGATGCAAATCTGTAATTTAGACTCAGCTTCATTCACAGTTTTACCAGTGGAGTATGAATTATTTACTTTACAATTTACACACGTATATATCATGTAATGATCACTTAAAGAAATCTGACCAACTTCACTAATAATATGCGAATCTGGCATTGTAGTGACAATCAGGTCACTACAAGATGAAGAAGATGCAGTTACACGTGTTGGTTTGTGGATAAGCTGATGCAAAGCAAAAAGACATTCTAATAGTGGATTGCTGTATCATTTCCACTGCTATAATCAACATTGAAATCACCAAGAATAATCAAATCCTTATTTTCCATTATGATACTCTCTAACATATTCGAGAAGGTGTCCAAGTATTCAGGACCCGAGTTAGGCGGGCGGTACAAGCAACAAACGAGGATATTTATTATCTCGCATTTCAATTCTATAAGAACCATTTCAATATCATATTCAGTAATGGAAATTTCCCGATCAATTATGAATACTTCACCCGGAAGTGAGTCAATAATATTGCTAAACAACGTGTATTTGGTTTTATTAATATCCAAGGAGATTTTGTTTGCCTGGATCCATTCATAAATTAAAGTCAGTTCATAGTTACTATGATCTAGTAAAAGCTGTGGGTCACGATGAGATAAAGATATGTTAGTGTCATCTGCAACTAAGATTAATGATGGTAGATGCGCTTTTAAGATCATTTATATATAAAATAAAGAGCAGTGTGCCGAGTAACGACCCTTGTGGTCGACCACATGTAATATGTCTGACAGTTGATTCGCAATTATTGACTGAGACAAATTGGGTCCTGTCTTGCAAGTAATTCCTGAACCACTCTAAGGCCTTTCCTTTCACACCATAGTGCGAGAGTTTATATATTAAAATTTCGTGATCTATAATGTCGAATACCTTGGCGAAATCCAGGAATATTCCGACTTTATTTATAAATATGAGCATTGCGTGAGTTGTATGTTGTTGTTTTTTTGTGAAAACCGAATTGAGAGTCAGAAAGTGAGTCACATTCTGTTTATAAGAACTTAATAGTGCGCGTATAAATCATTTTTTCTAAGATTTTGGAAAATGTTAGTTTCCGCAGTCACGTGTATCCCCTTTTTTGTATATGGGTATAACCTTTGCTGTCTTCATATGGGAATGACACCATTTATGAGCGATAAGTTCAAAATGTGAGTTAATGGGATTAGAATGTCTAAAATTACATGTTTTAAATACTGTTCGTGCTTCCATCATAGCCAGGACTCTGTGGTAGATTGTTTACTATGTCAATTATCTCTGTTTCTCGCACGGGGATGAAAAATATGGATTTTGGGTTTGGATTTTGTAGAAGAGAATAGAAGTTTTTCCTCGAGGGTGGAATAGCTTCAGCAAGAGTTGGACCAACTCCTGCAATATAATCATTTAGATATTCAGCAATTTGAACTTGGTCTTGAGTTGCATTGTCTTGCGCGCGAAGTTCTTGTAGTTTTGTTTTTGCAGGGTTCTTATTTAGTGCAAAGTTTATTATTTTCTTTGAGTTTATTTCTTTGTAAGCGCTATGGGATTTCGTCTTTAGCATCTCTGAATATTTGATACATAGTGAGATGGAGAGAAAAAGCAAGGCTTATGGGATGGGTAGATTGCATAATTACGGACCCATTCATACAGGGTTTTGCCGAAGGAGGGGGGGGGGGGGGGGGAGGAGGGCATTTGCCCCTACTCTCGATCCGCCATTATTTACCCCGTGGAGTGATCACGTGGTGCCAGGGGAAATCCTTGCTGTGACCTCTGGAAAACGAGTTGTTAATTTAGTGAAAAACATAATGACAGGCCCTTGGTGTATATTTTTATATGGATTATCACTAGAATAGCCTGGCTGAATTGATACAACGATATGCCTAATGTTCACATTACTAGATATAGTTTTGAAAGAACTGATAGAAGTGATCAATTCTTGTTCATTATAGAAGCCGTCCATTGCCATTTTTCAATATATTTGGATGAAGTAAAGCTATGAAGAATATTACGTTTACTATCAATTTTATAACGTTTGTCCGTTTTTGTATTATGACAGAAAGTTCACTTTTCGCATCAACTTCCTGAAACTTCAACTTTTCCTACCTGCTTTCTCTTAATGGTGTAGTACTTTGAACAGTAAAATCGTACAATTTCGTTTGACTATACAGTGCGTCCCAGAAAAAAACGAAACCGAGAATCATCGATTTTTTATCATAACCTAATCGCAATTATAATTAATAAATGACACATATTTGGAAAGCTTAGATCCTCCTTTTTAATTTGATGCAACTCAAAGAGTACACTTAAGCCACACTGTGCTACTTGTAGCTACTTGCTCCCTCTATATAGAAAACTTCCCCAATCGGTGTTGGTCCCCCATGATCCTCTTTTTCTTATGTTAATTAAAAGTTGAGTTAATGAGATAGCCACCTGTCAGTGACCTCGCTGAGTGGTCTAATCCCTTCTGGCTGAATTAGTACAGCCGGCCTTTAAAGTATAACAAAACATGTAGTGATTGCTTAAATTCCTAAAATGTATGATCAAATCAATACCTTGGAAGATGATCCCATTGATGACGCTGTTGAGTTGAAGTCATTGTGATACTGACCGTCGAGTGTCAGGTCCTTCAAATGAGTCATCTTACAGATGAACTGAGCGAGATCACGTGATGCAGAGGGACATTCACCGAGTTCATCAGAGCGGATGTCAAGAGTCTCAATCTGTTATGATAGCAACATTATGTTGAATGAATACTAATAAAAACCCAATAAAACTATATCCAGCAATCAACAATATCTATAAGATTATATTAATATCGTTGCCACAATGAAAAACTCTAATAACACAATTACATTTATTGTGTAATGATGTACAAGTCTTGAAACCTGAAATTAGCACTAATTGCGATTGTTCCTGGATTTCTTTGAGACCAGGATAATGGTGTTTATTCATAACATATAGGTAATGAAAGAGGTGATCAATAGGTTGTTGATTGATCCAATCGGTACTCTGGGGCATTACAGATGAAATCAATGAAATAGTATTTCGAATTTTTGTTTACATAACAGAAAAGTGTGAAATAAAATGTACATGGAACACTTTGCAATTTCCAAAGGGTTTCAGGAATAATACAAACGGGGATAATAATATTGAAATAACTGTCTCTCTATCAGCAATTCCGTAGCACTCAGAATTATATGGTGTATATTATGCACTATTAAACTCTTAATGTTCACTCTGTTTTTGTATTATGAAAGAAAGTTCACTTTTAGCATCTTCTAGAAACGATCAACTTTTCGTAAGTGCTAACTCTTAACGCTGTACTAGTAGGGAGAGTAAATCGAGTTGAGTTTGACTTTATAGGAAAGAGTAGGCCTACACCTCCAGTATAACAAAACATTAAACATATGATCAAATGAATACCTCTGCAGATGATGCCATCGATGACGATGTTGAGTAGAAGTCATCGTGAACGTGACCGCCGAGTGACAGCTTTTTCAGATGAGTCATCTTACAGATGAACTGAGCGAGATCACGTGATGCAGAGGGACATTCACTGAGTCTCAAATAGTTGAGCTTAAGAATCTCAATCTGTTATGATAGTAACATTATGTTGAATAAATTATTACTAATAACCCATATAACTGTATTAAAAATTCAGCGATATGTTTAAAAATATATCAATATCGTTACCACAATGTAACAAATCTTAACGTAGTAACTTTTTTTGTTGCAACTAACTAAATTGCTCGGGTGACTACGCATTTCGACTACGCGTTTTAACTGGGTGTCTCCGGGTATTTGTATACACATTTCCTTTTTCCATTGTGTTTTAAATTCTCCCCTCTAAATTACGTCCTTCTCTACTGCTGCGGTTTTTTCTCTACAATACTTATTTTTCCACGGACCTATAATATACAGGTACGGCTTTTTAATAGGTTCCTCACATTTCACTTAATCTATTATATGAATTGAGAATCATTAAGACGTGCCCATTTTACATGTAATGTATAATTGTTTATGTTATAATTATATATATATATATATGTATCTATATATATATATATATCTATATTTGTGGTAAATGTGAAACAATAACACTTGAACTTGAACCTAAACTTGAAGTCTTGACATCTGAAATTAGAACTATTTTCAATAGATTCTGAATTCTTTTGAAACCAATTCAATGGTGTTCATTCATAACTGATAGGTAATGACATAGGTGATTAATATGTTTTTTGATTGATCCAATCGCGACTGTGGGCATTATGGATAAGGAAAAGAACAATATTTTTTTAGATCATGTTGACCCATGGCTCATGATCTAAATTCTAACAGCACAAAACAGAAGAGAAAAAAACAAGAGGGCAAAACGGTCGCGAACCAGTCCCCAATCACACTACTCTTGAGAAAACCCTTTCCTTTATTCCTTGGAGAGCCTGAACACCCTGATAATGTTATTGACAAAGTTATAGTGGGGGATCTATGATTGTATGACAGGGAGGGGGAATTTCTTTTCCCGGGCATACGATCTGGTAATTTTAACTGACCCTAATACATATTTACGTCGGAAAATTATGGGTGGGGGTTGAGAGGTCCCCATACTGGATGTCAGGTCTTAATCTGTATAATATTAACATTGTGTTGGACAAACAATTGCTAACATTATACTACCTAAACAAAATAACACTTCAAGTTCAAGTTCATTTTCAAGTTCATTTTACATCATGATACATTAGCCTTTCTCATTCATTTACATAAGCAATACGTCAATCTGACATTTGATTGAAAAAGTACTTGAAAACTATTTTTCATACCAGAAAAGTGTGAAAACAAATATATATATGGAACACATTGCAATTTTCAGAGGATTACAGAAATAATACAACGGCGACGAAGAGATTTGATTTGTCATTTTTGTAGGTTTTGAAATTAAAATATTTGTATCAAGACTTCTCATCAGTATTTACGAATTGAAATAGCTGTCTCTCCATTAGCAGTTCCGCAGCACTTCGAAATGTCAAATGAAATGAAAAGAATGGTATGTATTATTCACTTTTGATTTTATAATCTTTACTCTGTTTGTGTATAATGACAGATAATCACTTTTCGAAGCCCCTTTCTAAAACGATTAAAGGGGAAGTCCACCCTGAAATTAAGTTAGTTTTAATAGGGGTAGAAAAATGAGAGAAACAAGTCAGTGAAAGTTTGAGCAAATTCCGATTAAAAATAAGGAAGTTAGGATTTTTGAAGTTGTGATCAATCAAACACAAATTGGCAACTCTATGACGTATCATGCGAGCTCAACTTCCATTTGCTCAGTACTAAAAAAATCTAAAATTTTCATCTTCCCTTAAGAAAAATTTCAACCATACATGCACCCTAAATATAATAATTGCAAATATGTTTCTATACTCCCCCTGCAAGGAACAAATATATATTCCGTCATCAATAACGAAGAAAACATAATTTTATGGAATATTATGCACAAAGCAAATGAAGGAGAGCTCGTATAATAAGTCACAGAGTTGCCAAATTGTATTTGATTGATCACAACTTCAATAATTCATAACTTTCTTATTTTCATTCAGAATTTGCTCAAACTTTCACTCACCTGATTTTCTTATTATTCTGCCTCTATCGAAACAAACTTATTTTGGGGGTGGACTTTCCCTTTAACTTTACCTAGCTGCTTCCTTTTAACAGTGTACGAAAAAAGGGAAATTGTACACTCGCGTTTGACTATATAGGAAAAAGTACACCTCCATTATAACAAAACTTGTAGTGATTTGTTAAGAGTCCTTGAATATATGATCAAATCGATACCTTTGCAGATGATGCCATCGATGACGATGTTGAGAAGAAGTCATCGTGAAACTGATTGTAGATTGACAGGTCCTTCAGATGTGTAATCTTACAGACGAACTGAGCGAGATCACGTGATGCATAGGGACGTTCACTGAGACCAACAGAGTGGATGTCAAGAGTTTCAATCTGTTATGATAGCAACATTATGTTGAGTGAATGTTAAAGATAAAGGTGAGTTTTGATAATGCGATTGCATTGTGAAAGAAATGGTATGGAATGGATCAGAAAAGTTGATCATATAGCATGTTGTAATGCAAGGTTCTGGAGTCATTAAAATCATCATAAATTTGGCCCAGTCTTGGTAAAGTCACAATCCCTGTACACAGAAAGATGTATATGGGATAACACAAATGGTGTCGGGGCTAGTACTATCTTGATTTCCTTATCTTTCTATGCTCAGTACCAAGGGTGTCGATTTGTATCCGTGGTTGGGGGGGGGGGGGGGGGATGATAGGTGCCAAAATATTTTCGGCAATGGATCAAAGCAATCAAGAGGAAGAAGCGTGTGGCAAGTTGCACCCTCCCAAGCGCGTAGCCAGGATTTCATTTTAGGGGGCGGTAGTGAGCACGCGAAGCGCGGTCCCTAGGGGGTTGCGTGCAGGGAGGCGAGTTCCCCCCCCCCCGAAAGTGCGGAAGCTTTGACGTTTCACTAAATTATTAGAGAAAGAAGACGATTCGTTGGACCGTTCTCGACTCTTAATCCTTGTTTGAATCAAGTTCCCCTTCCTCCGCGCGTAGCGCGGAAGCTCTGACGTTTCATTAGATTATTAAAGACAGAAGACGATTCGATGTACCATTCTCGTCTCTTAATCCTTGTCTGAATTTATTTTCGCCCATTCCCTGCGCGAAGCGCGGAAGCTTTCACATTAGAGAAAGAAGACGATTTGTTGTATCGTGTCCTTCATGAATTCAGTTTCTCCCCTACCGCGCGAAACGCGGAAGCTTTGACGTTTCACTAAATTATAAGAGAAAGAAGACGATTCGTTGGACCGTTCTCGACTCTAAATCCTTGTTTGAATCAAGTTCCCCTTCTTCCGCGCGTAGCGCGAATGCTCTGACGTTTCATCAGATTATTAAAGAAAGAAGACGATTCGATGTACCATTCTCGACTCTTAATCCTTAATGTTTGAATCAAATTCCCCCTTCCTCGCGCGTAGCGCGGAAGCTCTGGTGTTTCATTAGATGATTAAAGAAAGAAGACGATCCTATGTACCATTCTCGTCTCTTAATCCTTGTCTGAATTCATTTTCGCCTATTCCTGCACGAAGCGCGGAAGCTTTCACATTAGTGAAAGAAGACGATTTGTTGTATCGTGTCCTTTGTGAACTCAGTTTCTCCCCTACCGCGCGAAGCGTGGAAGCTTTAACGTTTCAATAAATTATTACTCTTAATCCTTGTCTGTATTCATTTTCGCCCATTCCGCGCTTAGCGCGGAAGCTTTTACGTTTCATTAAATTGTTCGTAAAAGAAGACGCTTCGTTGTATCCTGTACTTTGACGTTTCATTTGATTATTACGCTTAATCCACGTCTGAATTCAGTTGCCCCCAACAGCTTTGCCCTTTTCACTGAATTATTAGAGAAAGAAGACGATTCGTTGTACTGTTCTCTATATTAATCCTTGTCTGAATTCAGTTTCCCCACTGAAAATAATTTGTGTTACAAATAAATTGTGACATAATAATCTTTCTCCAAAAATGAAAAACTTTTAGGAAATATCAGGAAATAAAATGTGTGAAAAAAACAAAAATAAAGATACAATGACGTGATTTTTTAAAAGGGTGAACGGAAACAACATAACAGCTAGAGAACTATTTTATAAGTCATACTAATGTCCGAAAATCTTGTCTGATTGTCTGATGTGCATTGCAGATTGCTATTTTTGCGCTTCGCGCTTAACATTTAGCTCGTTGCTTTTTGACGCTGCGTCTTTGCATTTGGCGCACTGCATTTCTCTGATGCTGTTGATTGAACAAATTGAATAAATTCATCAATTCCTGATGAAGCCGTATGAGCGAGAATTCAATTTATTCTTGTCTCATATACGGTTGTCTTATTTACTTCGTATATACATGTATGTATGTATTATGAAAATGAGATAGCAAAATGTGTATATTGATGGTCATCTTGCGAGTAATAACCATTAACTACTCTCATCGGGCTCTCATCCTTAATTTTTCTCTTCATTTTTTTTAAATTTTTTTATGGTGAATTATTGGGGGGGATGATTGTACAGGCCATCCCCCCCACCTGATATATTGGGGGGGGGGGATATATCCCCCCCATCCCCCCCCCCCCCCCGGATCGACACCCATGCTCAGTACTCAGCCAGTATACATTTTCTTCTAAAATTGTTTGGCACGTGACATTTATCTGTAATCTTGAACATTAAGTGTAAGTTTCGTTAGATTCTGTGAGAATTCATTTTCTTTTTTTTTACCAGAACTCAAGTTTATCTCTAATAACAACCAAATAAAACTATATTCGAGAATCAACAATTCGTAAAAAATTACATTAATATCGTTGCCACAATGAAAAACTCTTTACACTATAACATTTATTGTAAGAATCTCAATACGTTATGATAGCAACATTATATTGAATGAATGTTAATAACAACCAAATAAAACTATATTAAAAAATCAACACTTTTTGTCTAAACTATATTAATATTCAGTAGGCTTGCTGTTGCTCAATGTAAGAGAGAGGGAGGATTGGGAAGTCCTGAAGAACTCTTAGCACAATCACATTTATTTTGGTTATAATATACAATTCTTGACACCTGAAATTAGTACTAATTTCAATAGTTCATGGATTTCTTTTAAGACCGATATAATGGCGTTTATTCATAACTGATAAATAATGACAGAGGTGATCAATATCTTTTTGATTGATCTAATCGGGACTATGGCATTAAGGATAAAAAAATCATAATTTTTTCTAGATGATATTGACCTAAAGTCACCTGTTGACCGATGGAGTAGAGGGGAAATATAAATGAAGATCTTGGCTCATGATCTAAATTCTAACAGAACAAAAGAGAATACATCAAAAAGGCAAAATGGTCTCGAGCCAGTCACCAATCACACTACTTTCGAAGAAAACCCTGTCCTCTCTTCGGTGGAGTACCTGACCACCCTGATTTTGTTATTGACAACATAATAGTGATGGATCTATGGTTGTCAGAAAGGAAGGGATTTGTTTCTCCGGGCATATGATCAGGTAATGTACTGAACCTAATGTTTTTTTTTCGCCAAGTGATTGATTGACGCCTTCATTTTCATGTGATAGGATTTTCCTGATTTTCTTTGTATTTTTGTTAAATGGAGGACGCAGTAATTTATGGGTTTGAGACAGACAAATTGACAAGGGCCATTATTGTTATACTTATTGAAAGGGGTTGCAGGCGCGGATCCAGGGGGAGGGGCCGAGCGTGCCTTGGCCCCCCCCCCCCCCCCCCCCCGCAAAAAAAAAAAAAAAAAAGAGAGAAGAAAGGAAAAGAAGGGAAAGGGAAAGAGGAGAGAAGGGAAAGAAAGAAGAGGAAGAAAAAAAGAAAAGGGGGAAGAAGGAGATCGGGGGGCCGAAAGGGCCTTGCCCTCCCCCCCCCCCCCAATTAAAAAAATAAGAGAGAAGGAAGGAAAGGGAAAGAAATGACATAATTTCCGAGATTTTTCCTCACTTTTTAGTAAATACGTTTGTATGTGTTTGTTGGAGAATGACAAATTACTAAATTTACAGCCAGGCAAGAAATATGATTCTTGAGATTCCTACATGTCAGGCCCGAGGTGGGGCGGGGATTGGGTGCCTCGAGCCCCCCCCCCCCCCACTTGTTTTGAAAAAGTATATTAAAGAGAAATAAAATAGAATGAGAGCAAGAAAGAAAGAATAGTTAACCGCCAGTGTTAAAAATTAATGAGGCATCTAAATATGCTCATCTGACCGTGATTAAATGCCTAAAACCCCTAAGCTCCCGGGGGCTCTGCCCCTGGATTCCACCTAGGACCCTATGGCGGGCCCTTAGATGCTCATCTGACGGTAATTTAATGCCTAAAACCCCTGATTTTTTGGGACTTAATGTGGTATATCCATTATTTAATCATCTGTAAAAAATCAGATGATATAAGATACAGATATGCAAACGGTTCTAGGACAATTACACCCCGGAAAATTACACCCCGAGGACAACTACCCTCTAAGGACAATTACCACCGGAAACCCCCCCCCCCCTCGGAGAAATTCCCCGAGGACGACTACCCCTGAGGACAATTACCTCCCGAGGACACTAACCCCCGTGGACAATCAGGATTCGATAGCAAAAGACGATCTGACCAGGGACTATCCCAAGTCCCTGATCTGACACATTGAGAGATGGCTACTAGACCATAAGATCCCATGCATGAACCCATATTCGTTCAAATACTATAGCACGTTATCTTTCTCATTACTACACATTTCCCTTTAATCATAATTTATGCAACGCCAGTGCGGTTGCTGATTTCCACAAAGAAAGTCAGTTTTAGGTAATTGTCCAGCGCTTCTCAAAATGCATATAAATACATTTCTCTAGAGCAGCGTTATTTCAAACCAAAATCTCATAGTCTTCACAGACTATTTATTTTGCATGACTCTGGCACTCGTCAAGTGCTATGTAAGACATTTTCAAACTGGTAAAAAATTAGATTGTAATCAACAAACTAGGAACGATTTAAAGCAGGCGCGGATCCAGGGGGCCGAGCGGGCCGAGCAAAAAAAGTGAGAGAGAGAGAGAGAGAGAGAGAGAAGAAAAAAAAAGGGGAAATGAAAACGGAAAGAGAGAAAGGGAAAGAAAGAAGAGGAAGAAGAAAAGAAGGGGAAAGAAGGAGATCGGAGGGGCCGAAAGGGCCTTGCCTCCCAGGCTGGTGCCTCCCCCCCCCCCCCATCAACAAAATAAGAGAGAAGGAGGGAAAGGGAAAGAAGAAAGGAAAAGAGGAGATAAAGGGAAGGGAAAACAAAGGAGGAAGAAAAGAAAAGAAGGGGGATATAAGTTGCAATTTTTCCGCCAACATCGTGTGGATCAGGAAGGGGGGGGGGGGGGGGTTCAAAAGTGTATGACATTGTAGTCTAGCAAGTAAACAGGTTTCCTTGCGTAATTTGGCCCCTGGAACCCAAGCCAAATAGTGACCTGCCAGTGTCATAAAATAATAAGGTATAACAAAAAATGCTCATCTGACCTTAATTAAACGCCTAAAACCCCTGAGCTTCCGGGGCCGGCTCAGCCACCTCGACCCCACCAGGGGCCCTAAGGCGGGCCCCTGAATGCTTATCTGACCGCAATTTATTGCCTTAAACCCCTGAGCTTGCGGGGTCGGACAAGGTATCAAAATGTGTTTATCTGACCGCAGGCGCGTAGCCAGGGGGGGGGGGGGGGCGGTCCCCCCCAAATCGGAAGAGGACGTAGGAAGAAAAAGGAGCAGACAAAGAACACCTTTGAAAAAAGGATTAAGAGTATAGAGAACGGTACAACGCATCGTCTTCTTTCTCTAATAATTTAATAAAACGTCAAAGCTTCGCTCAGGAGGGGAGGGGGGGGGGAACTGAATTCAGACAATGATTAAGAATCGAGAACGGTACAGCGAATCGTCTTCTTTCTCTCATAATCTTGTAAAACATCAAAGCTTCCGCGCGAAGCGCGGGGGTGGGGAACCTGAATTCAGACGAGGATTCAGAGGCGAGAACGTTAATACGAATCTTTAATGATTTAATGAAACGTAAAAGCTTCCGCGCTTTGCGCGGGATGGAGGGGAAACTAAATTCCGACGAGGATTATTTTCGAAAACGGTACAACAAATCGTCCTCTTTCTCTAATGAATTAATGAAAATTAAAAACATCCACTGAAATAATTAATAATAACTATTAATATCACCAATCCCAATAGGATTTCCAAGTGTATACTGTTCAAACCAATATGATAAAACGCTAACTTAAATTATTATGAGATAACGTACGTACTGAACCCATTTTTTAAATATTTTGTGAGATCACCATAATTCCTTTAAAATGCGTAATGTTGTTAAGATATTATTTGATATTCATAACGATATCTAGATTATGAAAACAAAATAGGAACCAAACGGAAAATGGAAGAGAAAAAAAAGCTTATTAAAACATCAGTATCAATGAAGGTGATTAAAGATAAACTTGAGTTCTGGTAATGCGATTGCATTGTGAAAGAAAAGGTGTGGAATGGATCAGAAAAGTTGATCATAAGGCATGTAAGTATTGGTGTGTAATGCAAGGTTCTGGAGTCATCAACATCATCATAAATTTGGCAGAGTCTTGGTAAAGTTACAATCACTTACACAGAAAGATGTATATGGGACAACACACATGGTGTCGGGGCTAGTACTACCCTGATTTCCTTATCTTTCTAAGCTCATTACTCAGCCAGTATACATTTTCTTCCAAAATTGTTTGGCACATGACATTTATTTGTAATCTTGAACATTCAGTGTAAGTTTCGTTAGATTCTGTGAGAATTCATTTTCTTTTTTTACCAGTTTATCTTTAATCAGAATAATATACGATTATGTTGATGTTTACGTTTCTAGCCTCACAATATTATTTGTGTACATGTACATTGTAGGATGACCTGAGTATTATGAAGCCATGTGGACGGACGGCTTCAGAGGACCTGGCTGAATTCATCTGCTCATCACGATCACTGAGATCTGTTACGATCGATCTTACTCGAGTTACTGGTACTATGCATGACGTCTTCTACTCGGTGCTTGCGAATAAATCAGTCGATTCCAAGGTCAGTATAAATCTTTGTATCATCCACATTGTCGTTTATTTGGTACATCATTCCTTTAAAAAATGGATGCCAAATTCAGTCAGGATTGAAATAATTTAGGAAAATACTGGGAAACAGAAATTTGCTTAATATAGAAAAACAAATTTAAATTTCAAACGTCTATGGCACGCATATCGGGAAACAATTAGAAATATTCAACAACAATAACAAATATTTTTCTCTCTCTGAAATAAACTCTCTCTCTCTCTCTCTTTCTTTCTCTCTCTCTCTCTCTCTCTCTCACTATTTCAACCCTGTTCAGCACCTATCCTTGAAGTTTTTTAAATTACTTTTCCGATGCGGTTGAGACATTTTTTCACCTACCCCATCACACTTTTTTGTTTTTGCTGTCAAAATTTCTGGTTAGGGTGTTTCTAATTATTTAAATGACCCAATCTCAAATTATTTTAACTAGATTTTGAGGCATGTAGTCTATAAAAGCATATCTTTCCAAATGCTCTGCTTTCACAAATATATTATCTCAAAGGTCGTAACATGTGAATTGTATGAAATTAACACTTAGTGTATAAGGGGGGCTAGGACGCCCTACTATCGTCATTTCCGTTACGTAGTATCCGCTTTGCATTTCGCATTGTCTTTTCATGTCTCTTCCCTAAGGTCCTACGCACATTTTGATAGCATGTTCGTCAAACTCGGATATACCCGTCAGATGTGACATAACAATTAGATGTGCATGTCATTAACATGTGCTATAATTCGTTCCTATTTTCACGAAGTGACAGTAGTGAGGACAATCGTCACGCAAATTGTATGCGATTTTCCTCACTACCGTCACTTCGTGAAAATAGGGACGAATTGCTTATATTCACGAACAGGCGGAATTGCGAATAGAGACTAGCATGTATATCTTCATAACAGGGATGTTTGAATTGATATCAAATTGTTATTATTCGTTTTTAAATCAATGTTAGGAATTCATTAAAAAAGATACTTGAGAATGGAGATTAAATTTTTTTTAAAGACGCAAAAAAATTAAATGAAATTTTCCCAATATATATCAGCAGTTGGTGAGTAATAGAGACAGATAATTATTTCCTGGGAAATAATGGTTGTGTTTGGCTGTAGAAATCATGGTAGTAGTTCTAAATACTCTGATAAAGTTCAAATAAGGATTTTTTTTTTAATGCATATAATTATCACAATTCAAAATCAACAATTTCATAATATTAAACAATTATAAAAGGTTTCTACATTAAACAAGGTTTAGTCTGACCATTTTGTAATGATTCAATACTTACCCGCATACACTGTGTGCACAATCTGCACTCCCTGGGAGGCATTCCAGCCAGGCGTTACTTGACGCTCAAAACTGTTTGCCCGACAATGACTGTCGCATCCTACCGCAGGCGCGGATCCAGGATTCCTTAGGGGGGCCCATCTCCCCAAAAAGGTAAAATTAACGTTAAAAAATGAAAAAGTACACGTTTTTTCCCACTGTCCTACCGGGTACCTATTTTAACACCTGGGTGGAGAGAAGCAAGTGCAGGTTAATATCTTGCCAAAGGACATTAATGCCGTGTCGGGATTCGAACACTCGACCTTCACATCTCCATTCAAGCGCCTTAAACCACTCGACCACGACATTCCTACGTAATACGTAATAATTATGTAATTTCCATATTCATTCTTAATGCAAATTTACGTATGCATCTTTAAGTTTTACAAAAACTAAAATGAATATGTTTACATCTGATAAAGGAAAATATTTCTCCAATATAGTATCGTTTTCAAGAGTCCAGACATATCTAGAGACACGATTATTTAGTCTTCTGAAAATGCATTGAATTAAAATTCTGCATAATTGATTCACGCTATATACTTTTTTTTCGAATGCATATCAGGGACTCCTATATTGCTCATTACAGGACAGAGGAGAGGCATGCAATTGACGCGTTAATCGGATATTACACGGCCGAGATGACGGATGGGGGGATCCACTGGAAGTTTACTAATTTCGATAGTCAGACTAAATTCAGTGATTTTACTGTATAAACTAGTACGCCGTTGAGAAAAAAACAATTAGGAAAAAAATTACGCTTTTAGTGGAAGCAAAACAAATGTAATGTTATATATAATTCAGTATAGTAATGTCAGCAATTGTTTATCCAACCTGTTGTCGTACTATTACAACAGATTGAGACTCTTAACATTCACTCTGATGATCTCAGTGAACGTCCCTCAGCATCACGTGATCTCGCTCAGTTCATCTGTAAGATGACTCATCTGAAGGACCTGACACTCAAGGGTCAGTATCACCATGGACCTACTAGTACTACAGTAGGTCCATGGTATCACGATGCTTTCTACTCAACAGCGTCATCGATGGCATCATCCGCAAAGGTACTGATTTGATCATATATTTTGGGACTCTTAGCAAATCACTACATGTTTTTCTTATACTATTGGTGTACTCTTTCCTAATATAGTCAATCACAAGACTGGTACATCGATAAGAGCAAGCATGTAGGAAAAATTGATCGCTTCAGGAAGTGGAAGCGAAAAGTTAACTTTCTGCCATAGTACATATACAGAATGAAGATTATAAAGATTGATATTGGATAATATGTACCTTATTTTTCATTGCATATGACAATCGGAGTGCTACGGAATTGCTAATGGAGAGACGGCTATTTCAATTGTGAATACTGATGAGACTAAATAGTTTAATTTAAAGGCCTACAAAAATGATAAATCGAATCCGTTGGTCCCTGTTTGTATTATTTATTTACCCCTTTGGAAGCTACAAAGTGCATATATTTGTTTTTACACTTTTCTTAAATGAATGAGGATGACAACTGTCTCATTGTCAAGATTTTCCCTGGATATACAAAATAGCCAGACACTCTCATAAATGAGTTCTACAGACTGTTTATTGACAACTACATCAACATCTAAATTCATAGAAATATGCTGTTACACAAATATTACATATACGTACGGTCAATTAATTACTCCAATACCCACGAGTGTAGTCCCGTACAAGTTAATTTCCCAAATCATAAAAATCTGCTGTTACACAAATATTACAAATACGTACAGTCATTTAATTACTCCAATACCCACGAGTGTAGTCCCGTACAAGTTAACGATTCGATAGACTACTGAAATTAGTACATATTTTAGGGGTCAAGAATTGTACCTCATTACAAAATAAATGTTGTTGTTTAAAGGATTCTCAAATTGGCGACGATATCAATACAATTTTAAACATATAGCTACATTTTGAATATATGTTTAATGGTTTGTTATTAGTATTCATTCAACATAATGTTACTATCGTAACAGATTGACCCTCTGCCTCTTAACATCCACTCTGGTGATATCAGTGGACGTCCCTCTGTATCACGTGATCTCGCACAGTTCATCTGCAAGATGACTCATCTGAAGGACCTGACACTCGGCGGTCAGTATCACGATGACTTCTACTCAACAGCGTCATCGATGGCATCATCTGCAAAGGTACTGATTTGATCATATATTTTGGGACTCATAGCAAATCACTACATGTTTTGTTATACTGTTGGTGTACTCTTTCCTATATAGTCAATCGCAAGTGTACAATTTTACTCTCCCTAGTGTTGGTACATCGATAAGAGCAAGCAGATAGGAACAATTGATCGCTTCAGGAAGTGGAAGCGAAACGTGAACTTTTTGCCATAGTACATACACAGAATGAAGATTATAAAGATTGATATTGGATAATATATGTACCATATTTTTCATTGCATATGACAATTCGGAGTGCTAAGGAATTGCTGATGGAGAGACGGCTATTTTAATCCTGAATACTGATGAGACTAAATAGTTTAATTTAAAGACCTACACAAATGATAAATCGAATATGTTGGTTCCTGTTTGAATTGTTTATGTACCCCTTTGGAAACTCCAAAGTGTTCCGTATATATTTGTTTTTAAACTTTTCTTGAATCAAAATGTCAGAATAACGTTTTGCCTTTGTACATGAATGAGGATGGCAACTGTCTCATGATGTAAAGTATAACAATATTTGTATGTATTTTAATGTCAGCAACTTTTTATCCAATACAATGTTCCTATTATAACAGATTGAGATTTGACATCCAGTATGTGGATCACCCCACCCTTCCCTCACCACCACCCCCTCACTTATTCCGATGTGAAAATGTAGTAGGATCAGTAAAGTTACCGGATTATATGCCCGGGGAAAAAAAAATCTCCTCCTCTCTGACAATCATGGATCCGTCATTATACTGTCGTCAATAACATAATCAGGGTGTTCAGACTATCCCCCGATCGAAAGCGCACATTTTCCTTCAAGAGTAGTCTGTTTGGTGACTGCTTTGCGACCAACGTTCTGCCTACTTCTTTTATTCTCTTTTGTGTACGACTTTAGATCATGAGCCAAGTCCTTCATTCATATTTCCCCACTACTCCCTCAGTCAACAGGTCAACATGATCTAGAAAGTATTATCATCTTCTTTGTCCGTAATGCCCACAGTCCCAATGTGATCAATCAAAAACATATTATGAAAAAACAGTTATGAATAAACACCATCCTATCGGTCTCAAAGAATCGAGAGACTACTAAAATTAGTACATATTTTAGGGGTCAAGACTTGTTCCTCATACAAAATGAATGTTGTTGTGTTAAGGATTTTCATAATGGGGACGATATGAATACAATTTTAAAAATATAGCTGAAATTTGAATATATTTTTTAATGGTTTGTTATTAGTATTCATTTAACAAAATGTTGCTATCATAACAGATTAAGACTCTTGAGATCTGCTCTGGTGATCTCAGTAAACGTCCCTCTGCATCGCGTGATCTCGCTCAGTTCATCTATAAGATGACTCATCTGAAGAAGCTGACACTCCACGATCAGTATCACGATGACTTCTATTCAAAATTATCATCGATGGCATTAACCGTAAAGGTATTGATTTGATCGTATATTTCAGGGCTCTCGACAAATCCCTTCATGTTTTGGATATACTAGAGGTGTAGTCTTTCCTTTTAGTCAAACGCAAGTGTACAATTTTACTTTCCTTATTGGAACACCGTTAAGAGCACATACGAAAAGTTGATCGTTTCTGGAAGTGGATGCTAAAAGTAAACTTTCTGTCATAATATAAAAACAGAATGAAAATTATTGGAGTAATAGTGCATAATATACATTTCATATGACAATTCGAAGGGCTACGGAATTGCTGACGGAGAGACTGCCATTTCAATTGTGAATGCTGATGAGACTAAATATTTAAATTTAAAAACCTACACAAGTGAAAAATCAATCTCTTCTTCCCAGTTTGTATTATTTTTGTCACTCTTTTGAAATTGCAAAGTGTTCCATGTATATTTGTTTTCACACGATTGTGCTATGTAAAATTACTTTTTCAAAGTACTATTTAAATCGAATGTCAGAATAACGTATTGCATATGTAAATTATTAAGGATGGCTACTGTATCATGATGTAAAGTGGAATTCGTTTAAGGTAGTTTAATGTTAGCAATTGTTTATCCAACACAATGTTACTATTAAAATAGGTTAAGACTTGACAGCCAGTATGTAGAACGCCCCCCTCCTACACACCCTCACTCATTCCAATGTGAATATGTATAAGGGTAGTAAAAATACCGGATCAGATGCCCGGGAAAAGAAAATACCGTCCTGTCTTTATACAATCATGGATCCACCACTTTGTAGTCAATAACATTATAAGTGTGTTCAGGTTCTCTACGGAAGAGAGGACAGGGTTTTCTCAAGAGTAGTGTGATTAGGGACTGGCTCAAGACCGTTCTGCCTTCTTGTGTTATTATCTTTTGTTCTGTAAGACTTTAGAGCATGAGCCAAGTCCTTCATTCATATTTACCTGCTTCTCCCTCAGTCAACAGGTCAACATGATTTATAAAATATTGTACTTTTCTTTATCCGCAAAGCCCAGTCCACAGTGAGTCAATCAAAAACCTATTGATTACCTCTGTCCTTATCTATCAGTTATGAATAAACGCCATTACCTTGGTCTCAAAAGAATCCAGGAACTATTTAAATTAGTACTAATTTCAGGTGTCAAGACTTGTACACCATCAACAAAATAAATGATATTGTGTTAAGAGTTTTTTATTGTGGCAACGGTATTAATATAACTCAAACATATTGTTGATTGTTGAATACAGTTTTGAATGTTTTGTTATTGGTATTCATTCAACATAATGTTGCTATCATAACAGATTGAGACTCTTTACATCTACTCTGCTGATCTCAGTGAACGTCCCTCTGCATCACGTGATCTCGCTCAGTTCATCTGTAAGATGACTCATCTGAAGGACCTGAGACTCCGCGGTCAGTGTCACGATGACTTCTATTCAACATCGTCATCGATGGCATCATCTGCAAAGGTATTGATTTGATTGTATTTTGTTGGACTCTTAACAAATCACTACATGTTTTTGTTATACTGGAGGTGTACTCTGTACCTTTATAGTCAAACGCAAGTGTAGAATTTTACTCTCCCTATTGGTACACCGTTAAGAGCAGGTACGAAAAGTTGATCGTTTCTGGAAGTGGATGATAAAAGTAAACTTTCTGTCATAATATAAAAACAGAATGAAAATTATTAGAGTAATAGTGCATAATATACATTTCATATGACAATTCGAAGGGCTACGGAATTGCTCATGGAAAGACTGCCATTTCAATTGTGAATGCTGATGGGACTAAATATTTAAATTTAAAAACCTACAAAAATGAAAAATCGAATCTCTTTGTCCCAGTTTTATATTATTTTTGTCACTCTTCTGAAATTGCAAAGTGTTCCATGTTTATTTGTTTTCACACTTTTATGCTATGTCAAATTAGTTTTTCAAAGTACTATTTAAATCGAATGTCAGAATAACGTATTGCATAATTATTAAGGATGACTACTGTATCATAATGTAAAGTGGAATTTGTTTTTTATTATTTAGTTTTTATTATTTTTGTCACTCTTCTGAAATTGCAAAGTGTTCCATGTTTATTTGTTTTCACACTTTTGTGCTATGTCAAATTAGTTTTTCAAAGTACTATTTAAATCGAATGTCAGAATAACGTATTGCATAATTATTAAGGATGGCTACTGTATCATGATTTAAAGTGGAATCTGTTTAAGGTAGTTTAATGTTAGCAATTGTTTATCCAACACAATGTTACTATTAAAACAGGTTAAGACTTGACATCCAGTATGTAGAACGCCCCCCCCCCCCCTCCTACACACCTTCACTCATTCCAATGTGAATATGTATAAGGGTAGTAAAAATACCGGATTACATGCCCGGGAAAAGAAAATCCCGTCCTGTCTTTATACAATCATGGATCCACCAATAACATTATAAGGGTGTTCAGGTTCTCTACGGAAGAGAGGACAGGGTTTTCTCAAGAGTAGTGTGATTGGGGACTGGCTCAAGACCGTTCTGCCTTCTTGTGTTATTCTCTTTTGTTCTGTAAGACTTTAGAACATGAGCCAAGTCCTTCATTCATATTTACCCGCTTCTCCCTCAGTCAACAGGTCAACATGATTTATAAAATATTGTATTTTTCTGTATCCGCAATGCCCAGTCCACAGTGGGTCAATCAAAAAACCTATTAATTACCTCTGTCCTTATCTATCAGTTATGAATAAACGCCATTACCTTGGTCTAAAAAAAAATCCAGGAACTATTTAAATTAGTACTTTTATTTCAGGTGTCAAGACTTGTACACTATCAACAAAATAAATGATATTGTGTTAAGAGTTTTTTATTGTGGCAACGGTATTAATATAACTCAAACATATTGTTGATTGTTGAATACAGTTTTGATTGTTTTGTTATTGGTATTCATTCAACATTATGTTGCTATCATAACAGATTGAGACTCTTGACATCGACTCTGCTGATCTCGGTGAACGTCCCTTTGCATCACGTGATCTCGCTCAGTTCATATGTAAGATGACCCATCTGAAGAAGCTGACACTCGACGGTCAGTATCACGATGACCTCTACTCAACATCTTTATCGATGGCATCATCTGCAAAGGTATTGATTTGATTGTATTTTGTTGGACTCTTAAAAAATCACTACATGTTTTTGTTATACTGGAGGTGTACTCTGTACCTTTATAGTCAAACGCAAGTGTAGAATTTTACTCTCCCTATTGGTACACCGTTAAGAGCAGGTACGAAAAGTTGATCGTTTCTGGAAGTGGATGATAAAAGTAAACTTTCTGTCATAATATAAAAACAGAATGAAAATTATTAGAGTAATAGTGCATAAAATACATTTCATATGACAATTCGAAGGGCTACGGAATTGCTGATGGAAAGACTGCCATTTCAATTGTGAATGCTCATGGGACTAAATATTTAAATTTAAAAACCTACAAAAATGAAAAATCGAATCTCTTTGTCCCAGTTTTATATTATTTTTGTCACTCTTCTGAAATTGCAAAGTGTTCCATGTTTATTTGTTTTCACACTTTTATGCTATGTCAAATTAGTTTTTCAAAGTACTATTTAAATCGAATGTCAGAATAACGTATTGCATAATTATTAAGGATGACTACTGTATCATAATGTAAAGTGGAATTTGTTTTTTATTATTTAGTTTTTATTATTTTTGTCACTCTTCTGAAATTGCAAAGTGTTCCATGTTTATTTGTTTTCACACTTTTGTGCTATGTCAAATTAGTTTTTCAAAGTACTATTTAAATCGAATGTCAGAATAACGTATTGCATAATTATTAAGGATGGCTACTGTATCATGATTTAAAGTGGAATCTGTTTAAGGTAGTTTAATGTTAGCAATTGTTTATCCAACACAATGTTACTATTAAAACAGGTTAAGACTTGACATCCAGTATGTAGAACGCCCCCCCCCCCCCTCCTACACACCTTCACTCATTCCAATGTGAATATGTATAAGGGTAGTAAAAATACCGGATTACATGCCCGGGAAAAGAAAATCCCGTCCTGTCTTTATACAATCATGGATCTACCAATAACATTATAAGGGTGTTCAGGTTCTCTACGGAAGAGAGGACAGGGTTTTCTCAAGAGTAGTGTGATTGGGGACTGGCTCAAGACCGTTCTGCCTTCTTGTGTTATTCTCTTTTGTTCTGTAAGACTTTAGAACATGAGCCAAGTCCTTCATTCATATTTACCCGCTTCTCCCTCAGTCAACAGGTCAACATGATTTATAAAATATTGTATTTTTCTGTATCCGCAATGCCCAGTCCACAGTGGGTCAATCAAAAAACCTATTAATTACCTCTGTCCTTATCTATCAGTTATGAATAAACGCCATTACCTTGGTCTAAAAAAAAATCCAGGAACTATTTAAATTAGTACTTTTATTTCAGGTGTCAAGACTTGTACACTATCAACAAAATAAATGATATTGTCTTAAGAGTTTTTTTATTGTGGCAACGGTATTAATATAACTCAAACATATTGTTGATTGTTGAATACAGTTTTGAATGTTTTGTTATTGGTATTCATTCAACATTATGTTGCTATCATAACAGATTGAGACTCTTTACATCTACTCTGCTGATCTCAGTGAACGTCCCTCTGCATTACGTGATCTCGCTCAGTTCATCTGTAAGATGACTCATCTGAAGGACCTGAGACTCCGCGGTCAGTGTCACGATGACTTCTATTCAACATCGTCATCGATGGCATCATCTGCAAAGGTATTGATTTGATTGTATTTTGTTGGACTCTTAACAAATCACTACATGTTTTAGTTATACTGGAGGTGTACTCTGTACCTTTATAGTCAAACGCAAGTGTAGAATTTTACTCTCCCTATTGGTACACCGTTAAGAGCAGGTACGAAAAGTTGATCGTTTCTGGAAGTGGATGATAAAAGTAAACTTTCTGTCATAATATAAAAACAGAATGAAAATTATTAGAGTAATAGTGCATAATATACATTTCATATGACAATTCGAAGGGCTACGGAATTGCTCATGGAAAGACTGCCATTTCAATTGTGAATGCTGATGGGACTAAATATTTAAATTTAAAAACCTACAAAAATGAAAAATCGAATCTCTTTGTCCCAGTTTTATATTATTTTTGTCACTCTTCTGAAATTGCAAAGTGTTCCATGTTTATTTGTTTTCACACTTTTATGCTATGTCAAATTAGTTTTTCAAAGTACTATTTAAATCGAATGTCAGAATAACGTATTGCATAATTATTAAGGATGACTACTGTATCATAATGTAAAGTGGAATTTGTTTTTTATTATTTAGTTTTTATTATTTTTGTCACTCTTCTGAAATTGCAAAGTGTTCCATGTTTATTTGTTTTCACACTTTTGTGCTATGTCAAATTAGTTTTTCAAAGTACTATTTAAATCGAATGTCAGAATAACGTATTGCATAATTATTAAGGATGGCTACTGTATCATGATTTAAAGTGGAATCTGTTTAAGGTAGTTTAATGTTAGCAATTGTTTATCCAACACAATGTTACTATTAAAACAGGTTAAGACTTGACATCCAGTATGTAGAACGCCCCCCCTCCTACACACCTTCACTCATTCCAATGTGAATATGTATAAGGGTAGTAAAAATACCGGATTACATGCCCGGGAAAAGAAAATCCCGTCCTGTCTTTATACAATCATGGATCCACCAATAACATTATAAGGGTGTTCAGGTTCTCTACGGAAGAGAGGACAGGGTTTTCTCAAGAGTAGTGTGATTGGGGACTGGCTCAAGACCGTTCTGCCTTCTTGTGTTATTCTCTTTTGTTCTGTAAGACTTTAGAACATGAGCCAAGTCCTTCATTCATATTTACCCGCTTCTCCCTCAGTCAACAGGTCAACATGATTTATAAAATATTGTATTTTTCTGTATCCGCAATGCCCAGTCCACAGTGGGTCAATCAAAAAACCTATTAATTACCTTTGTCCTTATCTATCAGTTATGAATAAACGCCATTACCTTGGTCTAAAAAAAACTCCAGGAACTATTTAAATTAGTACTTTTATTTCAGGTGTCAAGACTTGTACACTATCAACAAAATAAATGATATTGTCTTAAGAGTTTTTTATTGTGGCAACGGTATTAATATAACTCAAACATATTGTTGATTGTTGAATACAGTTTTGATTGTTTTGTTATTGGTATTCATTCAACATTATGTTGCTATCATAACAGATTGAGACTCTTTACATCTACTCTGCTGATCTCAGTGAACGTCCCTCTGCATCACGTGATCTCGCTCAGTTCATCTGTAAGATGACTCATCTGAAGGACCTGAGACTCCGCGGTCAGTGTCACGATGACTTCTATTCAACATCGTCATCGATGGCACCATCTGCAAAGGTATTGATTTGATTGTATTTTGTTGGACTCTTAACAAATCACTACATGTTTTAGTTATACTGGAGGTGTACTCTGTACGTTTATAGTCAAACGCAAGTGTAGAATTTTACTCTCCCTATTGGTACACCGTTAAGAGCAGGTACGAAAAGTTGATCGTTTCTGGAAGTGGATGATAAAAGTAAACTTTCTGTCATAATATAAAAACAGAATGAAAATTATTAGAGTAATAGTGCATAATATACATTTCATATGACAATTCGAAGGGCTACGGAATTGCTCATGGAAAGACTGCCATTTCAATTGTGAATGCTGATGGGACTAAATATTTAAATTTAAAAACCTACAAAAATGAAAAATCGAATCTCTTTGTCCCAGTTTTATATTATTTTTGTCACTCTTCTGAAATTGCAAAGTGTTCCATGTTTATTTGTTTTCACACTTTTATGCTATGTCAAATTAGTTTTTCAAAGTACTATTTAAATCGAATGTCAGAATAACGTATTGCATAATTATTAAGGATGACTACTGTATCATAATGTAAAGTGGAATTTGTTTTTTATTATTTAGTTTTTATTATTTTTGTCACTCTTCTGAAATTGCAAAGTGTTCCATGTTTATTTGTTTTCACACTTTTGTGCTATGTCAAATTAGTTTTTCAAAGTACTATTTAAATCGAATGTCAGAATAACGTATTGCATAATTATTAAGGATGGCTACTGTATCATGATTTAAAGTGGAATCTGTTTAAGGTGGTTTAATGTTAGCAATTGTTTATCCAACACAATGTTACTATTTAAACAGGTTAAGACTTGACATCCAGTATGTAAAACGCCCCCCCCCCCCTCCTACACACCTTCACTCATTCCAATGTGAATATGTATAAGGGTAGTAAAAATACCGGATTACATGCCCGGGAAAAGAAAATCCCGTCCTGTCTTTATACAATCATGGATCCACCAATAACATTATAAGGGTGTTCAGGTTCTCTACGGAAGAGAGGACAGGGTTTTCTCAAGAGTAGTGTGATTGGGGACTGGCTCAAGACCGTTCTGCCTTCTTGTGTTATTCTCTTTTGTTCTGTAAGACTTTAGAACATGAGCCAAGTCCTTCATTCATATTTACCCGCTTCTCCCTCAGTCAACAGGTCAACATGATTTATAAAATATTGTATTTTTCTGTATCCGCAATGCCCAGTCCACAGTGGGTCAATCAAAAAACCTATTAATTACCTCTGTCCTTATCTATCAGTTATGAATAAACGCCATTACCTTGGTCTAAAAAAAAATCCAGGAACTATTTAAATTAGTACTTTTATTTCAGGTGTCAAGACTTGTACACTATCAACAAAATAAATGATATTGTGTTAAGAGTTTTTTATTGTGGCAACGGTATTAATATAACTCAAACATATTGTTGATTGTTGAATACAGTTTTGATTGTTTTGTTATTGGTATTCATTCAACATTATGTTGCTATCATAACAGATTGAGACTCTTGACATCGACTCTGCTGATCTCGGTGAACGTCCCTTTGCATCACGTGATCTCGCTCAGTTCATATGTAAGATGACCCATCTGAAGAAGCTGACACTCGACGGTCAGTATCACGATGACCTCTACTCAACATCTTCATCGATGGCATCATCTGCAAAGGTATTGATTTGATTGTATTTTGTTGGACTCTTAACAAATCACTACATGTTTTTGTTATACTGGAGGTGTACTCTGTACCTTTATAGTCAAACGCAAGTGTAGAATTTTACTCTCCCTATTGGTACACCGTTAAGAGCAGGTACGAAAAGTTGATCGTTTCTGGAAGTGGATGATAAAAGTAAACTTTCTGTCATAATATAAAAACAGAATGAAAATTATTGGAGTAATAGTGCATAATATACATTTCATATGACAATTCGAAGGGCTACAGAATTGCTGACGGAGAGACTGCCATTTCAATTGTGAATGCTGATGAGACTAAATATTTAAACTTAAAAACCTACACAAGTGATAAATCAATCTCTTCTTCCCAGTTTGTATTATTTTTGTCACTCTTTTGAAATTACAAAGTGTTCCATGTTTATTTGTTTTCACACTTTTCTGCTATGTCAAATTAGTTTTTCAAAGTACTATTTAAATCGAATGTCAGAATAACGTATTGCATAATTATTAAGGATGGCTACTGTATCATGATGTAAAGTGGAATCTGTTTAAGGTAGTTTAATAATAGCAATTGTTTATCCAACACAATGTTACTATTAAAACAGGTTAAGACTTGACATCCAGTATGTAGAACGCCCTCCTCCTACACACCCTCACTCATTCCAATGTGAATATGTATAAGGGTCAGTAGAAATACCGGATCACATGCCCGGTAAAAGAAAATCCCGTCCTGTCTTTATACAATCATGGATCCACCACTTTGTAGTCAATAACATTATCAGGGTGTTCAGGTTCATTACGGAAGAGAGGACAGGGTTTTCTCAAGAGTAGTGTGATTGGGAACTTGCTCAAGACCGTTCTGCCTTCTTGTGTTATTCTCTTTTGTTCTGTAAGACTTTAGAGCATGAGCCAAGTCCTTCATTCATATTTACCCGCTTCTCCCTCAGTCAACAGGTCAACATGATTTATAAAATATTATATTTTTCTGTATCCGCAATGCCCAGTCCACAGTGAGTCAATCAAAAACCTATTAATTACCTCTGTCATTATCTATTAGTTATGAATAAATGCCATTACCTTGGTCTCAAAAGAATCCAGGAACTATTTAAATTAGTCCTAATTTCAGGTGTCAAGACTTGTACACTATCAACAAAATAAATGATATTGTGTTAAGAGTTTTTTTATTGTGGCAACGGTATTAATATAACTCAAACATATTGTTGATTGTTGAATACAGTTTTGAATGTTTTGTTATTGGTATTCATTCAACATAATGTTGCTATCATAACAGATTGAGACTCTTGACATCGACTCTGCTGATCTCAGTGAACGTCCCTCTGCATCACGTGATCTCGCTCAGTTCATATGTAAGATGACTCATCTGAAGGACCTGACACTCCGCGGTCAGTGTCACGATGACTTCTATTCAACATCGTCATCGATGACATCATCTGCAAAGGTATTGATTTGATCGTATTTTGTTGGACTCTTACTAAATCACTACATGTTTTTGTTATACTGGAGGTGTACTCTTTACCTTTATAGTCAAACGTAAGTGTACAATTTTACTCTCCCTATTGGTACACCGTTAAGAGCAGGTACGAAAAGTTGATCGTTTCTGGAAGTGGATGATAAAAGTAAACTTTCTGTCATAATATAAAAACAGAATGAAAATTATTAGACTAGTAGTGCATAATATACTTTTCATATGACAATTCGAAGGGCTACGGAATTGCTAATGGAGAGACAGCTTTTTCAATTGTGAGTACTGATGAAACTAAATATTTAAATTAAAAAACCTACAAAAATGAAAAATTGAATCTCTTTGTCCCAGTTTTTATTATTTTTGTCACTCTTTTGAAATTACAAAGTGTTCCATGTTTATTTGTTTTCACACTTTTGTGCTATGTCAAATTAGTTTTTCAAAGTACTATTTAAATCGAATGTCAGAATAACGTATTGCAAAATTATTAAGGATGGCTACTGTATCATGATGTAAAGTGGAATTTGTTTAAGGTAGTTTAATGTTAGCAATTGTTTATCGAACACAATGATACTATTAAAACAGGTTAAGACTTGACATCCAGTATGTAGATTGCCTCCCTCCTACACACCCTCACTCATTCCAATGTGAATATGTATAAGGGTCAGTAAAAAATACCGGATCACATGCCCGGGAAAAGAAAATCCCGTCCTGTCTTTATACAATCATGGATCCACCACTTTGTAGTCAATAACATTATAAGGGTGTTCAGGTTCTCTACGGAAGAGAGGACAGGGTTTTCTCAAGAGTAGTGTGATTGGGGACTGGCTCAAGACCGTTCTGCCTTCTTGTGTTATTATCTTTTGTTTTGTAAGACTTTAGAGCATGAGCCAAGTTCTTCATTCATATTTACCCGCTTCTCCCTCAGTCAACAGGTCAACATGATTTATAAAATATTATATTTTTCTGTATCCGCAATGCCCAGTCCACAGTGGGTCAATCAAAAAACCTATTAATTACCTCTGTCCTTATCTATCAGTTATGAATAAACGCCATTACCTTGGTCTAAAAAAAAATCCAGGAACTATTTAAATTAGTACTTTTATTTCAGGTGTCAAGACTTGTACACTATCAACAAAATAAATGATATTGTGTTAAGAGTTTTTTATTGTGGCAACGGTATTAATATAACTCAAACATATTGTTGATTGTTGAATACAGTTTTGATTGTTTTGTTATTGGTATTCATTCAACATTATGTTGCTATCATAACAGATTGAGACTCTTGACATCGACTCTGCTGATCTCGGTGAACGTCCCTTTGCATCACGTGATCTTGCTCAGTTCATATGTAAGATGACCCATCTGAAGAAGCTGACACTCGACGGTCAGTATCACGATGACCTCTACTCAACATCTTCATCGATGGCATCATCTGCAAAGGTATTGATTTGATTGTATTTTGTTGGACTCTTAACAAATCACTACATGTTTTTGTTATACTGGAGGTGTACTCTGTACCTTTATAGTCAAACGCAAGTGTAGAATTTTACTCTCCCTATTGGTACACCGTTAAGAGCAGGTACGAAAAGTTGATCGTTTCTGGAAGTGGATGATAAAAGTAAACTTTCTGTCATAATATAAAAACAGAATGAAAATTATTGGAGTAATAGTGCATAATATACATTTCATATGACAATTCGAAGGGCTACAGAATTGCTGACGGAGAGACTGCCATTTCAATTGTGAATGCTGATGAGACTAAATATTTAAATTTAAAAACCTACACAAGTGATAAATCAATCTCTTCTTCCCAGTTTGTATTATTTTTGTCACTCTTTTGAAATTACAAAGTGTTCCATGTTTATTTGTTTTCACACTTTTCTGCTATGTCAAATTAGTTTTTTAAAGTACTATTTAAATCGAATGTCAGAATAACGTATTGCATAATTATTAAGGATGGCTACTGTATCATGATGTAAAGTGGAATCTGTTTAAGGTAGTTTAATAATAGCAATTGTTTATCCAACACAATGTTACTATTAAAACAGGTTAAGACTTGACATCCAGTATGTAGAACGCCCTCCTCCTACACACCCTCACTCATTCCAATGTGAATATGTATAAGGGTCAGTAAAAATACCGGATCACATGCCCGGTAAAAGAAAATCCCGTCCTGTCTTTATACAATCATGGATCCACCACTTTGTAGTCAATAACATTATCAGGGTGTTCAGGTTCATTACGGAAGAGAGGACAGGGTTTTCTCAAGAGTAGTGTGATTGGGAACTTGCTCAAAACCGTTCTGCCTTCTTGTGTTATTCTCTTTTGTTCTGTAAGACTTTAGAGCATGAGCCAAGTCCTTCATTCATATTTACCCGCTTCTCCCTCAGTCAACAGGTCAACATGATTTATAAAATATTATATTTTTCTGTATCCGCAATGCCCAGTCCACAGTGAGTCAATCAAAAACCTATTAATTACCTCTGTCATTATCTATCAGTTATGAATAAATGCCATTACCTTGGTCTCAAAAGAATCCAGGAACTATTTAAATTAGTCCTAATTTCAGGTGTCAAGACTTGTACACTATCAACAAAATAAATGATATTGTGTTAAGAGTTTTTTTATTGTGGCAACGGTATTAATATAACTCAAACATATTGTTGATTGTTGAATACAGTTTTGAATGTTTTGTTATTGGTATTCATTCAACATAATGTTGCTATCATAACAGATTGAGACTCTTTACATCTACTCTGCTGATCTCAGTGAACGTCCCTCTGCATCACGTGATCTCGCTCAGTTCATATGTAAGATGACTCATCTGAAGGACCTGACACTCCGCGGTCAGTGTCACGATGACTTCTATTCAACATCGTCATCGATGACATCATCTGCAAAGGTATTGATTTGATCGTATTTTGTTGGACTCTTACTAAATCACTACATGTTTTTGTTATACTGGAGGTGTACTCTTTACCTTTATAGTCAAACGTAAGTGTACAATTTTACTCTCCCTATTGGTACACCGTTAAGGCAGGTACGAAAAGTTGATCGTTTCTGGAAGTGGATGATAAAAGTAAACTTTCTGTCATAATATAAAAACAGAATGAAAATTATTAGACTAGTAGTGCATAATATACTTTTCATATGACAATTCGAAGGGCTACGGAATTGCTAATGGAGAGACAGCTTTTTCAATTGTGAGTACTGATGAAACTAAATATTTAAATTAAAAAACCTACAAAAATGAAAAATTGAATCTCTTTGTCCCAGTTTTTATTATTTTTGTCACTCTTTTGAAATTACAAAGTGTTCCATGTTTATTTGTTTTCACACTTTTGTGCTATGTCAAATTAGTTTTTCAAAGTACTATTTAAATCGAATGTCAGAATAACGTATTGCAAAATTATTAAGGATGGCTACTGTATCATGATGTAAAGTGGAATTTGTTTAAGGTAGTTTAATGTTAGCAATTGTTTATCGAACACAATGATACTATTAAAACAGGTTAAGACTTGACATCCAGTATGTAGATTGCCTCCCTCCTACACACCCTCACTCATTCCAATGTGAATATGTATAAGGGTAGTAAAAATACCGGATCACATGCCCGGGAAAAGAAAATCCCGTCCTGTCTTTATACAATCATGGATCCACCACTTTGTAGTCAATAACATTATAAGGGTGTTCAGGTTCTCTACGGAAGAGAGGACAGGGTTTTCTCAAGAGTAGTGTGATTGGGGACTGGCTCAAGACCGTTCTGCCTTCTTGTGTTATTATCTTTTGTTTTGTAAGACTTTAGAGCATGAGCCAAGTCCTTCATTCATATTTACCCGCTTCTCCCTCAGTCAACAGGTCAACATGATTTATAAAATATTATATTTTTCTGTATCCGCAATGCCCAGTCCACAGTGAGTCAATCAAAAACCTATTAATTACCTCTGTCATTATCTATCAGTTATGAATAAATGCCATTACCTTGGTCTCAAAAGAATCCAGGAACTATTTAAATTAGTCCTAATTTCAGGTGTCAAGACTTGTACACTATCAACAAAATAAATGATATTGTGTTAAGAGTTTTTTTATTGTGGCAACGGTATTAATATAACTCAAACATATTGTTGATTGTTGAATACAGTTTTGAATGTTTTGTTATTGGTATTCATTCAACATAATGTTGCTATCATAACAGATTGAGACTCTTGACATCGACTCTGCTGATCTTGGTGAACGTCCCTTTGCATCACGTGATCTCGCTCAGTTCATCTGTAAGATGACTCATCTGAAGGACCTGACACTCGACGGTCAGTATCACGATGACTTCTACTCAACATCGTCATCGATGGCATCATCTGCAAAGGTATTGATTTGATTGTATTTTGTTGGACTCTTAACAAATCACTACATGTTTTTGTTATACTGGAGGTGTACTCTGTACCTTTATAGTCAAACGCAAGTGTAGAATTTTACTCTCCCTATTGGTACACCGTTAAGAGCAGGTACGGAAAGTTGATCGTTTCGTGAAGTGGATGATAAAAGTAAACTTTCTGTCATAATATAAAAACAGAATGAAAATTATTAGAGTAATAGTGCATAATATACATTTGATATGACAATTCGAAGGGCTACGGAATTGCTCATGGAAAGACTGCCATTTCAATTGTGAATGCTGATGGGACTAAATATTTCAATTTAAAAACCTACAAATATGAAAAATCGAATCTCTTTGTCCCAGTTTGTATTATTTTTGTCACTCTTTTGAAATTGCAAAGTGTTCCATGTTTATTTGTTTTCACACTTTTCTGCTATGTCAAATTAGTTTTTCAAAGTAATATTTAAATCGAATGTCAGAATAACGTATTGCATAATTATTAAGGATGGCTACTGTATCATGATGTAAAGTGGAATCTGTTTAAGGTAGTTTAATGTTAGCAATTGTTTATTGTTTATCCAAGACAATGTTACTATTAAAACAGGTTAAGACTTGACATCCAGTATGTAGATTGCCTCCCTCCTACACACCCTCACTCATTCCAATGTGAATATGTATAAGGGTTAGTAAAAATACCGGATCACATGCCCGGGAAAAGAAAATCCCGTCCTGTCTTTATACAATCATGGATCCACCACTTTGTAGTCAATAACATTTTAAGGGTGTTCAGGTTCTCTACGGAAGAGAGGACAGGGTTTTCTCAAGAGTAGTGTGATTGGGAACTTGCTCAAAACCGTTCTGCCTTCTTGTGTTATTCTCTTTTGTTCTGTAAGACTTTAGAGCATGAGCCAAGTCCTTCATTCATATTTACCCGCTTCTCCCTCAGTCAACAGGTCAACATGATTTATAAAATATTATATTTTTCTGTATCCGCAATGCCCAGTCCACAGTGAGTCAATCAAAAACCTATTAATTACCTCTGTCATTATCTATCAGTTATGAATAAATGCCATTACCTTGGTCTCAAAAGAATCCAGGAACTATTTAAATTAGTCCTAATTTCAGGTGTCAAGACTTGTACACTATCAACAAAATAAATGATATTGTGTTAAGAGTTTTTTTATTGTGGCAACGGTATTAATATAACTCAAACATATTGTTGATTGTTGAATACAGTTTTGAATGTTTTGTTATTGGTATTCATTCAACATAATGTTGCTATCATAACAGATTGAGACTCTTTACATCTACTCTGCTGATCTCAGTGAACGTCCCTCTGCATCACGTGATCTCGCTCAGTTCATATGTAAGATGACTCATCTGAAGGACCTGACACTCCGCGGTCAGTGTCACGATGACTTCTATTCAACATCGTCATCGATGACATCATCTGCAAAGGTATTGATTTGATCGTATTTTGTTGGACTCTTACTAAATCACTACATGTTTTTGTTATACTGGAGGTGTACTCTTTACCTTTATAGTCAAACGTAAGTGTACAATTTTACTCTCCCTATTGGTACACCGTTAAGAGCAGGTACGAAAAGTTGATCGTTTCTGGAAGTGGATGATAAAAGTAAACTTTCTGTCATAATATAAAAACAGAATGAAAATTATTAGACTAGTAGTGCATAATATACTTTTCATATGACAATTCGAAGGGCTACGGAATTGCTAATGGAGAGACAGCTTTTTCAATTGTGAGTACTGATGAAACTAAATATTTAAATTAAAAAACCTACAAAAATGAAAAATTGAATCTCTTTGTCCCAGTTTTTATTATTTTTGTCACTCTTTTGAAATTACAAAGTGTTCCATGTTTATTTGTTTTCACACTTTTGTGCTATGTCAAATTAGTTTTTCAAAGTACTATTTAAATCGAATGTCAGAATAACGTATTGCAAAATTATTAAGGATGGCTACTGTATCATGATGTAAAGTGGAATTTGTTTAAGGTAGTTTAATGTTAGCAATTGTTTATCGAACACAATGATACTATTAAAACAGGTTAAGACTTGACATCCAGTATGTAGATTGCCTCCCTCCTACACACCCTCACTCATTCCAATGTGAATATGTATAAGGGTAGTAAAAATACCGGATCACATGCCCGGGAAAAGAAAATCCCGTCCTGTCTTTATACAATCATGGATCCACCACTTTGTAGTCAATAACATTTTAAGGGTGTTCAGGTTCTCTACGGAAGAGAGGACAGGGTTTTCTCAAGAGTAGTGTGATTGGGAACTTGCTCAAAACCGTTCTGCCTTCTTGTGTTATTCTCTTTTGTTCTGTAAGACTTTAGAGCATGAGCCAAGTCCTTCATTCATATTTACCCGCTTCTCCCTCAGTCAACAGGTCAACATGATTTATAAAATATTATATTTTTCTGTATCCGCAATGCCCAGTCCACAGTGAGTCAATCAAAAACCTATTAATTACCTCTGTCATTATCTATCAGTTATGAATAAATGCCATTACCTTGGTCTCAAAAGAATCCAGGAACTATTTAAATTAGTCCTAATTTCAGGTGTCAAGACTTGTACACTATCAACAAAATAAATGATATTGTGTTAAGAGTTTTTTTATTGTGGCAACGGTATTAATATAACTCAAACATATTGTTGATTGTTGAATACAGTTTTGAATGTTTTGTTATTGGTATTCATTCAACATAATGTTGCTATCATAACAGATTGAGACTCTTTACATCTACTCTGCTGATCTCAGTGAACGTCCCTCTGCATCACGTGATCTCGCTCAGTTCATATGTAAGATGACTCATCTGAAGGACCTGACACTCCGCGGTCAGTGTCACGATGACTTCTATTCAACATCGTCATCGATGACATCATCTGCAAAGGTATTGATTTGATCGTATTTTGTTGGACTCTTACTAAATCACTACATGTTTTTGTTATACTGGAGGTGTACTCTTTACCTTTATAGTCAAACGTAAGTGTACAATTTTACTCTCCCTATTGGTACACCGTTAAGAGCAGGTACGAAAAGTTGATCGTTTCTGGAAGTGGATGATAAAAGTAAACTTTCTGTCATAATATAAAAACAGAATGAAAATTATTAGACTAGTAGTGCATAATATACTTTTCATATGACAATTCGAAGGGCTACGGAATTGCTAATGGAGAGACAGCTTTTTCAATTGTGAGTACTGATGAAACTAAATATTTAAATTAAAAAACCTACAAAAATGAAAAATTGAATCTCTTTGTCCCAGTTTTTATTATTTTTGTCACTCTTTTGAAATTACAAAGTGTTCCATGTTTATTTGTTTTCACACTTTTGTGCTATGTCAAATTAGTTTTTCAAAGTACTATTTAAATCGAATGTCAGAATAACGTATTGCAAAATTATTAAGGATGGCTACTGTATCATGATGTAAAGTGGAATTTGTTTAAGGTAGTTTAATGTTAGCAATTGTTTATCGAACACAATGATACTATTAAAACAGGTTAAGACTTGACATCCAGTATGTAGATTGCCTCCCTCCTACACACCCTCACTCATTCCAATGTGAATATGTATAAGGGTAGTAAAAATACCGGATCACATGCCCGGGAAAAGAAAATCCCGTCCTGTCTTTATACAATCATGGATCCACCACTTTGTAGTCAATAACATTATAAGGGTGTTCAGGTTCTCTACGGAAGAGAGGACAGGGTTTTCTCAAGAGTAGTGTGATTGGGGACTGGCTCAAGACCGTTCTGCCTTCTTGTGTTATTATCTTTTGTTTTGTAAGACTTTAGAGCATGAGCCAAGTCCTTCATTCATATTTACCCGCTTCTCCCTCAGTCAACAGGTCAACATGATTTATAAAATATTATATTTTTCTGTATCCGCAATGCCCAGTCCACAGTGAGTCAATCAAAAACCTATTAATTACCTCTGTCATTATCTATCAGTTATGAATAAATGCCATTACCTTGGTCTCAAAAGAATCCAGGAACTATTTAAATTAGTCCTAATTTCAGGTGTCAAGACTTGTACACTATCAACAAAATAAATGATATTGTGTTAAGAGTTTTTTTATTGTGGCAACGGTATTAATATAACTCAAACATATTGTTGATTGTTGAATACAGTTTTGAATGTTTTGTTATTGGTATTCATTCAACATAATGTTGCTATCATAACAGATTGAGACTCTTGACATCGACTCTGCTGATCTTGGTGAACGTCCCTTTGCATCACGTGATCTCGCTCAGTTCATCTGTAAGATGACTCATCTGAAGGACCTGACACTCGACGGTCAGTATCACGATGACTTCTACTCAACATCGTCATCGATGGCATCATCTGCAAAGGTATTGATTTGATTGTATTTTGTTGGACTCTTAACAAATCACTACATGTTTTTGTTATACTGGAGGTGTACTCTGTACCTTTATAGTCAAACGCAAGTGTAGAATTTTACTCTCCCTATTGGTACACCGTTAAGAGCAGGTACGGAAAGTTGATCGTTTCGTGAAGTGGATGATAAAAGTAAACTTTCTGTCATAATATAAAAACAGAATGAAAATTATTAGAGTAATAGTGCATAATATACATTTGATATGACAATTCGAAGGGCTACGGAATTGCTCATGGAAAGACTGCCATTTCAATTGTGAATGCTGATGGGACTAAATATTTCAATTTAAAAACCTACAAATATGAAAAATCGAATCTCTTTGTCCCAGTTTGTATTATTTTTGTCACTCTTTTGAAATTGCAAAGTGTTCCATGTTTATTTGTTTTCACACTTTTCTGCTATGTCAAATTAGTTTTTCAAAGTAATATTTAAATCGAATGTCAGAATAACGTATTGCATAATTATTAAGGATGGCTACTGTATCATGATGTAAAGTGGAATCTGTTTAAGGTAGTTTAATGTTAGCAATTGTTTATTGTTTATCCAAGACAATGTTACTATTAAAACAGGTTAAGACTTGACATCCAGTATGTAGATTGCCTCCCTCCTACACACCCTCACTCATTCCAATGTGAATATGTATAAGGGTTAGTAAAAATACCGGATCACATGCCCGGGAAAAGAAAATCCCGTCCTGTCTTTATACAATCATGGATCCACCACTTTGTAGTCAATAACATTTTAAGGGTGTTCAGGTTCTCTACGGAAGAGAGGACAGGGTTTTCTCAAGAGTAGTGTGATTGGGGACTGGCTCAAGACCGTTCTGCCTTCTTGTGTTATTATCTTTTGTTCTGTAAGACTTTAGAGCATAAGCCAAGTCCTTTATTCATATTAACCCGATTCTCCCTCATTCAACAGGTCAACATGATTTATAAAATGTTGTACTTTTCTGTATCCGCAATGCCCAGTCCACAGTGGTTCAATCAAAAACCTATTAATAACCTCTGTCATTATCTATCAGTTATGAATAAATGCCATTACCTTGGTCTCAAAAGAATCCAGGAACTACTTAAATTAGTACTAATTTCAGGTATCAAGACTTGTACACTATCAACAAAATAAATGATATTGTGTTAAGAGTTTTTTATTGTGGCAACGGTATTAATATAACTCAAACATATTGTTGATTGTTGAATACAGTTTTGAATGTTTTGTTATTGGTATTCATTCAACATAATGTTGCTATCATAACAGATTGAGACTCTTGACATCGACTCTGCTGATCTTGGTGAACGTCCCTTTGCATCACGTGATCTCGCTCAGTTCATCTGTAAGATGACTCATCTGAAGGACCTGAAACTCCACGGTCAGTATCACGATGACTTCTACTCAACATCGTCATCGATGGCATCATCTGCAAAGGTATTGATTTGATTGTATTTTGTTGGACTCTTAACAAATCACTACATGTTTTTGTTATACTGGAGTTGTACTCTGTACCTTTATAGTCAAACGCAAGTGTAGAATTTTACTCTCCCTATTGGTACACCGTTAAGAGCAGGTACGAAAAGTTGATCGTTTCGTGAAGTGGATGATAAAAGTAAACTTTCTGTCATAATATAAAAACAAAATGAAAATTATTAGAGTAATAGTGCATAATATACATTTGATATGACAATTCGAAGGGCTACGGAATTGCTCATGGAAAGACTGCCATTTCAATTGTGAATGCTGATGGGACTAAATATTTCAATTTAAAAACCTACAAATATGAAAAATCGAATCTCTTTGTCCCAGTTTGTATTATTTTTGTCACTCTTTTGAAATTGCAAAGTGTTCCATGTTTATTTGTTTTCACACTTTTCTGCTATGTCAAATTAGTTTTTCAAAGTAATATTTAAATCGAATGTCAGAATAACGTATTGCATAATTATTAAGGATGGCTACTGTATCATGATGTAAAGTGGAATCTGTTTAAGGTAGTTTAATGTTAGCAATTGTTTATCCAACACAATGTTACTATTAAAACAGGTTAAGACTTGACATCCAGTATGTAGATTGCCTCCCTCCTACACACCCTCACTCATTCCAATGTGAATATGTATAAGGGTCAGTAAAAATACCGGATCACATGCCCGGTAAAAGAAAATCCCGTCCTGTCTTTATACAATCATGGATCCACCACTTTGTAGTCAATAACATTATCAGGGTGTTCAGGTTCTCTACGGAAGAGAGGACAGGGTTTTCTCAAGAGTAGTGTGATTGGGAACTTGCTCAAGACCGTTCTGCCTTCTTGTGTTATTCTCTTTTGTTCTGTAAGACTTTAGAGCATGAGCCAAGTCCTTCATTCATATTTACCCGCTTCTCCCTCAGTCAACAGGTCAACATGATTTATAAAATATTATATTTTTCTGTATCCGCAATGCCCAGTCCACAGTGAGTCAATCAAAAACCTATTAATTACCTCTGTCATTATCTATCAGTTATGAATAAATGCCATTACCTTGGTCTCAAAAGAATCCAGGAACTATTTAAATTAGTCCTAATTTCAGGTGTCAAGACTTGTACACTATCAACAAAATAAATGATATTGTGTTAAGAGTTTTTTTATTGTGGCAACAGTATTAATATAACTCAAACATATTGTTGATTGTTGAATACAGTTTTGAATGTTTTGTTATTGGTATTCATTCAACATAATGTTGCTATCATAACAGATTGAGACTCTTTACATCTACTCTGCTGATCTCAGTGAACGTCCCTCTGCATCACGTGATCTCGCTCAGTTCATCTGTAAGATGACTCATCTGAAGGACCTGACACTCCGCGGTCAGTGTCACGATGACTTCTATTCAACATCGTCATCGATGGCATCATCTGCAAAGGTATTGATTTGATCGTATTTTGTTGGACTCTTACTAAATCACTACATGTTTTTGTTATACTGGAGGTGTACTCTTTACCTTTATAGTCAAACGTAAGTGTACAATTTTACTCTCCCTATTGGTACACCGTTAAGAGCAGGTACGAAAAGTTGATCGTTTCTGGAAGTGGATGATAAAAGTAAACTTTCTGTCATAATATAAAAACAGAAAGAAAATTATTAGACTAGTAGTGCATAATATACTTTTCATATGACAATTCGAAGGGCTACGGAATTGCTAATGGAGAGACAGCTTTTTCAATTGTGAGTACTGATGAAACTAAATATTTAAATTAAAAAACCTACAAAAATGAAAAATTGAATCTCTTTGTCCCAGTTTTTATTATTTTTGTCACTCTTTTGAAATTACAAAGTGTTCCATGTTTATTTGTTTTCACACTTTTGTGCTATGTCAAATTAGTTTTTCAAAGTACTATTTAAATCGAATGTCAGAATAACGTATTGCAAAATTATTAAGGATGGCTACTGTATCATGATGTAAAGTGGAATTTGTTTAAGGTAGTTTAATGTTAGCAATTGTTTATCCAACACAATGATACTATTAAAACAGGTTAAGACTTGACATCCAGTATGTAGATTGCCTCCCTCCTACACACCCTCACTCATTCCAATGTGAATATGTATAAGGGTCAGTAAAAATACCGGATCACATGCCCGGGAAAAGAAAATCCCGTCCTGTCTTTATACAATCATGGATCCACCACTTTGTAGTCAATAACATTATAAGGGTGTTCAGGTTCTCTACGGAAGAGAGGACAGGGTTTTCTCAAGAGTAGTGTGATTGGGGACTGGCTCAAGACCGTTCTGCCTTCTTGTGTTATTATCTTTTGTTTTGTAAGACTTTAGAGCATGAGCCAAGTCCTTCATTCATATTTACCCGCTTCTCCCTCAGTCAACAGGTCAACATGATTTATAAAATATTATATTTTTCTGTATCCGCAATGCCCAGTCCACAGTGAGTCAATCAAAAACCTATTAATAACCTCTGTCATTATCTATCAGTTATGAATAAATGCCATTACCTTGGTCTCAAAAGAATCCAGGAACTATTTAAATTAGTACTAATTTCAGGTATCAAGACTTGTACACTATCAACAAAATAAATGATATTGTGTTAAGAGTTTTTTATTGTGGCAACGGTATTAATATAACTCAAACATATTGTTGATTGTTGAATACAGTTTTGAATGTTTTGTTATTGGTATTCATTCAACATAATGTTGCTATCATAACAGATTGAGACTCTTGACATCGACTCTGCTGATCTTGGTGAACGTCCCTTTGCATCACGTGATCTCGCTCAGTTCATCTGTAAGATGACTCATCTGAAGGACCTGACACTCGACGGTCAGTATCACGATGACTTCTATTCAACATCGTCATCGATGGCATCATCTGCAAAGGTATTGATTTGATTGTATTTTGTTGGACTCTTAACAAATCACTACATGTTTTTGTTATACTGGAGGTGTACTCAGTACCTTTATAGTCAAACGCAAGTGTAGAATTTTACTCTCCCTATTGGTACACCGTTAAGAGCAGGTACGAAAAGTTGATCGTTTCTGGAAGTGGATGATAAAAGTAAACTTTCTGTCATAATATAAAAACAGAATGAAAATTATTAGAGTAATAGTGCATAATATACATTTCATATGACAATTCGAAGGGCTACGGAATTGCTCATGGAAAGACTGCCATTTTAATTGTGAATGCTGATGGGACTAAATATTTAAATTAAAAAACCTACAAAAATGAAAAATCGAATCTCTTTGTCCCAGTTTTATATTATTTTTGTCACTCTTTTGAAATTGCAAAGTGTTCCATGTTTATTTGTTTTCACACTTTTGTGCTATGTCAAATTAGTTTTTCAAAGTACTATTTAAATCGAATGTCAGAATAACGTATTGCATAATTATTAAGGATGGCTACTGTATCATGATGTAAAGTGGAATCTGTTTAAGGTAGTTTAATGTTAGCAATTGTTTATCCAACACAATGTTACTATTAAAACAGGTTAAGACTTGACAGCCGGTATGTAGAACGCCCCCCTCCTACACACCCTCACTCATTCCAATGTGAATATGTATAAGGGTCAGTAAAAATACCGGATCACATGCCCGGTAAAAGAAAATCCCGTCCTGTCTTTATACAATCATGGATCCACCACTTTGTAGTCAATAACATTATAAGGGTGTTCAGGTTCTCTACGGAAGAGAGGACAGGGTTTTCTCAAGAGTAGTGTGATTGGGGACTGGCTCAAGACCGTTCTGCCTTCTTGTGTTATTATCTTTTGTTCTGTAAGACTTTAGAGCATGAGCCAAGTCCTTCATTCATATTTACCCGCTTCTCCCTCAGTCAACAGGTCAACATGATTTATAAAATATTGTATTTTTCTGTATCCGCAATGCCCAGTCCACAGTGAGTCAATAAAAAAACCTATTAATTACCTCTGTCCTTATCTATCAGTTATGAATAAACGCCATTACCTTGGTCTCAAAAAAATCGAGGAACTATTTAAATTAGTACTTTTATTTCAGGTGTCAAGACTTGTACACTATCAACAAAATAAATGATATTGTCTTAAGAGTTTTTTATTGTGGCAACGGTATTAATATAACTCAAACATATTGTTGATTGTTGAATTCAGTTTGGAATGTTTTGTTATTGGTATTCATTCAACATTATGTTGCTATCATAACAGAGGGAGACTCTTGACATCGACTCTGCTGATCTCGGTGAACGTCCCTTTGCATCACGTGATCTCGCTCAGTTCATCTGTAAGATGACCCATCTGAAGAAGCTGACACTCGACGGTCAGTATCACGATGACTTCTACTCAACATCATCATCGATGGCATCATCTGCAAAGGTATTGATTTGATCATGTTTTTCGGACTCTTAGCAAATCACTACATGTTTTTGTTATACGGACGGTGTACTCTTTCCTTTATAGTTAAACGCAAGTTTAATTGTGAATGCTGATGGGACTAAATATTTCAATTTAAAAACCTACAAAAATGAAAAATCGAATCTCTTTGTCCCAGTTTTTATTATTTTTGTCACTCTTTTGAAATTGCAAAGTGTTCCATGTTTATTTGTTTTCACACTTTTGTGCTATGTCAAATTAGTTTTTCAAAGTACTATTTAAATCGAATGTCAGAATAACGTATTGCATAATTATTAAGGATGGCTACTGTATCATGATGTAAAGTGGAATCTGTTTAAGGTAGTTTAATGTTAGCAATTGTTTATCGAACACAATGTTACTATTAAAACAGGTTAAGACTTGACATCCAGTATGTAGAACGCCCCCCTCCTACACACCCTCACTCATTCCAATGTGAATATGTATAAGGGTCAGTAAAAATACCGGATCACATGCCCGGGAAAAGAAAATCCCGTCCTGTCTTTATACAATCATGGATCCACCACTTTGTAGTCAATAACATTATAAGGGTGTTCAGGTTCTCTACGGAAGAGAGGACAGGGTTTTCTCAAGAGTAGTGTGATTGGGGACTGGCTCAAGACCGTTCTGCCTTCTTGTGTTATTCTCTTTTGTTCTGTAAGACTTAAGATCGTGAGCCAAGTCCTTCATTCATAATTATTTACCCGCTTCTCCCTCAGTCAACAGGTCAACATGATTTATAAACTATTGTACTTTTCTTTATCCGCAATGCCCAGTCCACAGTGAGTCAATAAAAAAACCTATTAATTACCTCTGTCCTTATCTATCAGTTATGAATAAACGCCATTACCTTGGTCTCAAAAAAATCGAGGAACTATTTAAATTAGTACTAATTTCAGGTGTCAAGTCTTGTACACTATCAACAAAATAAATGATATTGTGTTAAGAGTTTTTTATTGTCGCAACGGTATTAATATAACTCAAACATATTGTTGATTGTTGAATACAGTTTTGAATGTTTTGTTATTGGTATTCATTCAACATAATGTTGCTATCATAACAGATTGGGACTCTTTACATCGACTCTGATGATCTCGGTGAACGTCCCTCTGCATCACGTGATCTCGCTCAGTTCATCTGTAAGATGACTCATCTGAAGGACCTGAGACTCCGCGGTCAGTATCACGATGACTTCTACTCAACATCGTCATCGATGGCATCATCTGCAAAGGTATTGATTTGATCGTATTTTGTTGGACTCTTACCAAATCACTACATGTTTTTGTTATACTGGAGGTGTACTCTTTACCTTTATAGTCAAACGTAAGTGTACAATTTTACTCTCCCTATTGGTACACCGTTAAGAGCAGGTACGAAAAGTTGTTCGTTTCTGGAAGTGGATGATAAAAGTAAACTTTCTGTCATAATATAAAACAGAATGAAAATTATTAGACTGATAGTATAAAATATAAATTTCATATGACAATTCAAAGTGCTATGGAATTGCTAATGGAGAGACAGCTTTTTTAATTGTGAGTACTGATGAGACTAAATATTTAAATTGATAAACCTGCAAATATGTAAAATCGAATTTATTTGTCCCAGCTTGTATTATTTCTCAAACCCTTTGAAAATTGCAAAGTGTTCCATGTATATTTATTTTCACACTTTTCTGCTATGTAAAATTAGTTTTTCAAAGTACTATTTAAATCAAATGTCAAAATAATGTATTGCTTATGTGAACTAATTAGGATAGCTATGTATCATGATGTAAAGTGTAAAAATATTTTTAAGTAGTGTAATGTCAGCAATTGTTTATCTAACACAATGTTACTATTATAACAGATTAATACTTGGCATGCAGTATATGGATCATCCCCCTTCCCTTTCACCAGCCCTAACTCATTCCAACGTTAAAATGTAGTAGGATCAGTAAAATTATTAATCATTAATCACCTCTGTCATTATCTATCAGTTATGAATAAACACGAATAAACACCATTACCTCTGTCTCAAAAGAATCCAGGAACTATTGAAATTAGTACTAATTTCAGGTGTCAATTAGGCTATAGTTCCTCATTACAAAATAAATGTATTGTGTTTATATATTTTCATTGAGGCGACGACATTGATATAATTGTAAACGTTTCGCTGAATTTTGAATACAGTTATAATTGGATGTTGATAATTCAACAAAATGTTACTATCATAACAGATTGAGACTCTTTACATAAAGTGTTTCCGTCTAAGTGAACCTCCCTCTGCATCATTATGTCATTATCTATTAGTTATGAATAACGCCATTACCTCGGTCTCAAAAGAATCCAGGAACTGCTGAAATTAGTACTAATTTCAGGTGTCAAGATTTGTATATCATTCACAAAATAAATGTTATTGTGTTAAGAGTTTTCGCTACGGCAACGATATTAATATAATTTTTAATGAATTGTTGATTCTCGAATATAGTTTTATTTGGTTGTTATTCGTATTCATTCAACATAATGTTGCTTTCATAACAGATTGAGACTCTTGACATCTACTCTGATCTCAGTGAACGTCCCTCTGCATCACGTGATCTCGCTCAGTTCATCTTTAAGATATCTCATCTGAAGGGCCTGACACTCCGCGGTCAGTATCACGATGACTTCTACTCAACATCGTCATCGATTGCATCATCCGCGAAGGTATTGATGTGATCGTATATTTCAGGGCTCTCAACAAATCACTACATGTTTTGGGTATACTAGAGGTGTACTCTTTCCTATATATTCAAACGCAAGTGTAGAATTTTACTCTCCCTATTGGTACACCGTTAAGAGCAGGTACGAAAAGTTGATCGTTTCTGGAAGTGGATGATAAAAGTAAACTTTCTGTCATAATATAAAAACAGAATGAAAATTATTAGACTAATAGTATAAAAAATAAATTTCATATGACAATTCGAAGTGCTACGGAATTGCTAATGGAGAGACAGCTTTTTCAATTGTGAGTACTGATGAGACTAAATATTTAAATTTATAAACCTGCAAATATGTAAAATCGAATTCATTTGTCCCCGTTTGTATTATTTATCAAACCCTTTGGAAATTGCAAAGTGTCCCATGTATATTTATTTTCACACTTTTCTGCTATGTAAAATTAGTTTTTTAAAGTACTGTGGTTTAACTGGGCTCTGCCGGGGTAGCGTTCTGCCTTGCAGTCTCTCAAAACCCGGTTCACGCTCTCGACAATCATTCATCAACTATATCTCTCAGTGGGCTCTCACAAAAGTATATCGTGTAAGAATAAACGTGGACTAGCTCTCAATCTCATTTACTTACTCCCGCAATCACTGAATGTCTGGCAGTAACTCAAGAAACAACACTTGCACAGTATCTGCAGTTCAAGTAACTTTACTCGTTTCTAGTAACGGACCTGTCGCAACGACAGCCCGATGCTGACCGACTGACACGACAGCTCCACGCCGACTCACTGACATCTCACGATGTACACATATATATTTCACAATTAACTATATAACGCCCTCTACGTCTTACTAAATTACTGGGCTAGTTATGCTACACAGCCCCTCCCCAAGTGTGGGCTGTCCTCGGACCACTTTTTAACAAAACAAGATAATATCACTTCGAAATAATCTTTCCAAAAAAGTACAAAATTACTTTAAAACTCCTTAAAGTACATGTATATACACTTAGATATAACAACAAAATTATCTATGTATAGACTTAGTAGAGAAAGAACAAAAGAGTCGTCATGAGAAACGGGAAAGTTTAGGAAAGAATAGGTGCGGAAGGAATAGGACCAGAAATTCTGAAACAAAGAATACATGGCCTAAAACACAATGCTTATACAAGTTAAAATAAAACATAACCCTTTCCTTTTTCTCCTGCTACCTAACAAATACAAAACAATGCATCCCTGTACTATCGTAAACAAGAAATATTTGCCTAGTAACAATACAACATACACTTTCGTAAAGTGCAACATAAGAACTCGAATAGAGTGAAAGAACAAAAGAAGTAGAGGGAGAACGAATGAAATATGAGTTTGAAGTCAGACAAAGGGTGAAGGGTAGAAGGAATGCAGGATTTAAGGTGAACAAGATATTACACAATTCATTTCAGGTACATAAGTAAAAACAACAAAAGACATTGGTTGGAATGGCAAAGTACTGGCTGCTTAGTTTGAGTTTATGGCAAGATTAAATAAGTTGGGTCTCGGTGGATTCCTAGTTCTCGCGAGATCTCTCCTAGAGGCTGGGACAGGAACCTTTCGTGGTGCAGGTACAGTCGGTTCAACAAGTTTCGAAGCTTCCCTGTCGACGGGGTCAACCTCCTCTTCCTCTCCTAAAGCTGACATGTGCAAGTTGGCTAGGAGCGTCCTGCTCAACCTTCGGGCTGACTTACACTCGCTTCTAACTAGGAGTCCGTAGGCTGAAGAGTGCCACTTCGTAGGGTTTCAACCTGTCCACATGAACTACCTTCAACTGCCGTACACTCGAGCGGATGTCTGCATTCGTTCCTACCCCATAGAACCTCAACTCCTCCAGCAAACCTTATCTCTGGTCTTGTTCATGCCAAGGTACCCACTAGACTTGCCATCAAGCAATTCCTTCACAACGACCTCTCGAAGCTTAGCTGATAAGACAACATTCAGTTACCCTATGGCCTTGGTCACTATTCCCATTTCCTGTCGGGAACGCCTTGCTTCATTTCCAGTTGGGCTCACTTCCTCCAAGGGCTTCTCCACCCTGGACTTTGAAGCCATTGCTGACCAATCCAGCCGTTCCCTTGACCTTGACTGAAGGATCTTGCGCCTGGTCTTGGCTCATCTGCTCATTCATGATGCTGGGTTCTATCGTAACTGTCCTTGCCTCCGCATAGCTATCTCGGGGTACCTCCACTTTCGGTGCTACTTGTTTATCAGAGATTGCTGACTCCTTGAAGTTCCGCTTTACACGCACTGAGGACAATTCGTCACTGCCTTCGCCTTCACACGAAACATTGGTAAGTGAGCGTCCAGAACGGTGCACGGTTTTGAAGTCGCACTCTGCTATCACTTGCAGCCATCAATCCATCCATCCCTGCAAATCTCGAAAATCAATGAAGTGCCCCATGATCAGTCCTGACCTCAAATCTCCGACCATAATACCGGGCCATAATAAAGGCAAAAACTCCATACAGGCGCTATACTCACAAAATTCACTGTACAGGCGCTATCATTATTTACACAAGCGCTGTACCTTACATGTACATGCGCAATCCCTGCATTCGCCTACACACAGGCGAAACCTCAGGCGCTTTCTCTGCCTTCGCCTGCACACAGGCCAAATTTTCATCCTCCATAGTCACTCGTTTAGCAGCCATTACAGGATTCTCTATTATAATTATAAAAACACAAACTCCAGTCAGGCGCTATACTCTCAATGTATAGGCGCTATGTCTGCCGGCGCCTATATAGGCGCTATACCTCCTACGTGTAGGCGCTGTCACTGCCTATAGGCGCTATAACTAACACGTACGTAGCTAGGCGCTCCCACTGCCAGACGCCTATAGGCGATATACCTCCAACGTGTAGGCGCTTCCTCTCACTGCCTGGCGCCTATAGGCGCTATACCTAACACGTAGGCGCTCTCACTGCCCGGCGCCTATATGCGCTAGACCTAACACGTAGGTAGGCGCTATCACTGTCGGGCGCCTATAGGCGCTATACCTAACACGTAGGTAGGCGCTATCACTGTCGGGCGCCTATAGGCGCTTTACCTAACACATATAGGTAGGCGCTATCACTGTCGGGCGCCTATAGGCGCTATACCTAACACGTAGCTAGACACCGTCACTGTATGCGTAGGCGCCAATCTACTTCCGGGTTCGCTGTTGGGGGAGTTCGTTCTGAGCTGCTACAGCCACGTTGCTTCTGTCCCACCGCTGCCACCAACTTGCACAGTATCTGCAGTTCAAGTAACTTTACTCGTTCCTGGTAACGGACCTGTCGCAACGACAGCCCGATGCTGACCGACTGACACGACAGCTCAACGCCGACTCACTGACATCTCACGATGTACACATATATATTTCATAATTACCTATAACGCCCTCTACGTCTTACTAAATTACTGGGCTAGTAATGCTACAGTACTATTTAAATCAAATGTCAGAATAATGTATTGCTTATATGAACTAATTAGGATAGCTATGTATCATGATGTAAAGTGTAAAAATATTTTTAAGTAGTGTAATGTCAGCAATATTATTGTTTATCTAACATAATGTTATTATTATAACAGATTAATTCTTGGCATCCAGTATAATGGATCGCCCCCCCTTCCCTTCCACCAGCCTTAACTCATTCCGACGTTTAAATGTAGTAGGATCAGTAAAATTATCGGATCATAATACTGGGGGATAAAATGCCCTCTTCTCTTACAATCATGGATCCCCCGCTATAACATTGTCAATAACATTCTCAGGGTGTTCAGGTTCTCCAAGGAATAAAGGAAAGGGTTTTCTCAAGAGTAGTGTGATTGGTGACCGGCTCACGACCCTTTTGCCTTCTTTTTTTTATTCTCTTTTTTTCCTGCTAGAATTTAGATCATGAGCCAAGTCCTTCATTGATATTTCCCAACTACTCCCACAGTCAACAGGTCAACATGATTTAGGAAATATTATAATTTTCTTTATCCGCAATGCCCAAAGTCCAGATTGGATCAATCAAAAACATATTAATCACCTCTGTCATTATCTATCAGTTATGAATTAACACTAATAAACACCATTACCTCGGTCTCAAAAGAATCCATGAACTTTTGAAATTAGTACTAATTTCAGGTGTCAAGGCTATAGTTCCTCATTACAAAATAAATGTATTGTGTTTATATATTTTCATTGAGGCAACGACATTGATATAATTGTAAACGTTTCGCTGAATTTTGAATACAGTTATAATCGGATGTTGATAATTCAACAAAATGTTACTAACATAACAGATTGAGACTCTTTATATAGAGTGTTTCCGTCTAAGTGAACCTCCCTCTGCATCATTATGTCATTGTCTATTAGTTATGAATAACGCCATTACCTCGGTCTCAAAATAATCCAGGAACTGCTGAAATTAGTACTAATTTTAGGTGTCAAGATTTGTACATCATAAACAAAATAAATGTCATTGTGTTAAGATTTTTCATAGTGGCGACGATATTAATATAGCAGAATGTTGAATATAGTTTTATTTGGTTGTTATTAGTAATAATTCAACATAATGTTGCTATCATAACAGATTGAGACTCTTAACATCCACTGTGATGATATCAGTGAACGGCCCTCGGCCTTCCAGCTTTCCGGGTATTTTTCGATTGCAGGGGTGATGGAGTTTCAGGCGTTTCAGGCGAGACGTCTGATTCGGTGTACTCGCTATCGCTGTCGCTTTTGTCACTGTGACTGAAGGACGAGAGGCATGCAATTGTCGCGTCAAACGGATATTACACGGCCGAGATGACGGGTGGGGATCCATTGGAAGCTTACTTATTTCGATAGTCAGACTAAATTGGTTGATTTTACTGTATAAACTAGGACGCCGTTGAGAAAAAGCAATTAGGAAAATAATTACGTTTAAGGAAGTGGAAGCCAAAAAAATATAATGTTATATATAATTCAGTATAGTAATGTCAGCAATTGTTTATCCAACATGATGTCGTACTATTACAACAGATTGAGACTCTTGACATCTACTCTACTGATCTCAATGGACGTCCCTCTGCATCACGTGATCTCGCTCAGTTCATCTGTAAGATGACTCATCTGAAGGACCTAACACTCCGCGGTTGGTATCACGATGACTTCTACTCAACATCGTCATCGATGGCATCATCTGCAAAGGTATTGATTTGATCATATTTTTGGGGACTCTTAGCCAGGCGCGGATCCAGGGGGAGCGCCCCCCCCCCCCCCGGCAAAAAATAAAAAATAAAAAAAGCGAGAGAGAGGAGGAAAAGAAGGGAAAGAGGAGAGAAAGGGAAAGAAAGAAGAGGAAGAAGAAAAAAAAAAGGGAAAAAAAGGGGAAAAAAAGGGAAATCGGGTGGGGGGGGGGGTGCGAAAGGGCCTTGCCTCTTAGGCTGTTGCCCCCCCCCCCCCCCCATCAACAAATAACAGAGAAGGAAGGATATGGAAAGAAAAAAGGAAAACAATAGAAAGAAGTAAGGTGGGGGAGATCAGATGCATTTTTTTTCCCCAACAAGGTGTTAATCGAGGGGGGATGCACTGGCTTACGGATGGGGGTAGGGTGCCCCCCCAATACAAATTCAAACGTGGTTTATTTCTAATTCGATACCGGTGATGTACAAATGTTGCTGAAATTACATAATTTTCCGAGATTTTTCCTCACTTTTTAGTAATTTTTACTTTTGTATGCGTTTGTTTGAGATGACAAATTCCTAAAATTACCGTCAGGTGAGAAATATGCTTATTTAAAGGCTTAAATGTCAGGCCCCGCTCACAGTGCCAGGGAGGAACCAAAGTGCGCCAAAACTCATGTTTGGGGATTTATTTTTTATAAATCCAGAGGAAATGTTTGGATTTCCAGGGATTTTCCCTTAAATTTTATTATCAACATTTTTTCTGATGTCTAAGCTTTAAGTTGATACCAGATTTGGCTGCCGATTCTGCCCGTTATTATGTTAGAGCCGTTTTCCTTGCAACATTGCCCCGAAAAATGTGTTTATTTTGGTCCGCGGTGTCAGAACAAGTGTCACGCGCCCCCTCGCGCCGTGATTTATGACCACGAATCCTTCATGATTTAGCCGCGGACCAAAAAACCCCACATTTTTCGGGGCAATGTGGCAAGGGAAATTAAAATTTTAGCGGTACACCGTGGAGATCTTAACATTTCTTCTGGATTTATAAAAAAACATGGATAATTAGTCCATTTTTCAGTGAATTACCCTATAATATATCATGAAGATTGTGTTTCTATTAATTTTAACCCATTCATTCAACGAAATGAACTATCAGGAAATGTTGTTATTGTTGTTGAATATTTGTTTCCCTACATGCGTGCCATAGACGTATGGAATTTAAATTTGTTTTTCCATATTAAGTAAATTTCTGTTTCCCAGTATTTTCCTAAATTGTTTAAATCCTGACTGAATTTGGCATCCATTTTTTTTAAAAGAATGATGTACCTAATTAACGACAACGTGGATGATACAGAGATTCATACTGACCTTGGAATCGACTGCTATATTTGCAAGCACCGAGTAGAAGACATCATGCATAGTACCAGTAAGATCGATCGTCACAGATCTCAGTGATCGTGATGAGCACATGAATTCAGCCAGGTCCTCTGAAGCCGTCCTTCCACATGGCTTGTAAATAATCAGGTCATCCTGCAAAGTACATGTGCACAAATAATATTGTGAGGCTAGAAACATAAACCATCAAAATAATACTATATTATCCTGATTAATCAACTGCATTGATACTGATTTTTTTAATAAGCTTGTTTTCTTCTTCAATTTCCCGTTTGGTTCTTATTCTGTTTTCATAATCTATATGTATGAACATCAAATAATACACTAATAACATTATACATTAGTAAGGAATTATTCTGATCCAATCAAAAATACAATTTTCTGGGTTCAGTACGTTATCTCATAATAATTCAAGGTAGCGTTTTATCATATTGATATGGACAGTAAACACGTGAAAATCCTATTGGGATTCGTGGTAATAAAAGCATTATATTATTAAACCAAGATTTCATTGCAAATACATTCAAGACGGGTTGTACTGCAATAACAATAAATCACAACTCCTATTTACATACTAAAGTCCTAATACTAATTAATTCTTGTTATTAAATTTTGTTCGTGTACATTGCAGTTTTCAAATTAAATATGATGGTCAGAATTGTATTCATGGCAGATCCATAGAAGTTGCTTTAATATAAACATGCTCCTGATTTAAATAAAATGTATTCTATCAAGCTTCTGGGTGAATTTGGGTGACGTGAAGTTTTGACAGAATGTATTGCCTTATTAGCGCATGTTTGGGTTCAAAGCATCGTTCGTATACACAGTATGTATACAGTCATGTGTTCAAACCAAACGACGTCATCCTATTAAAGTCTCAGAGAATGAAATTTAAATCAAATAGAAGCTCTATCACTCAAAAAGATTAAAACAAAGATGAAATGTATACGTTGCTACAATGAGACGTTGAATACTTTCCTTACCACTTCACGATGGTTCATGATGAAAGTATTCCCTGATACTGTGTGTGCCTGCATCTCCTCGGTGATCTTCAGTGTCTTTCTGGACGTAGTCGATAGATGATCCGCCACGGCTTTGGCCACTGCTTGGTCTTGGCTCTCATATGCTACATCTACGACGAAGTCTTCATTATACTCTGGTTCAAACGCTATGAGATGAGAGACGATATCCAAGCCGACCTCCTTCTGCTGGGCTGAGGTGAAGTACAGTAGGTACCGATATTCCGTTGATTCCGGTGTAATATACGCTATCAACCCGTCATACTCATTACGGTTTGAGTTGTAAAGAGATGCAAGATACATTCCTGATAGATACTCCTGGAAGAGCTTATGGGGAAACTGCACTGATCGGACTACTGAATTCGGAGTATTTCTTCTGTCTCGCATCGGAAGAATTTTCTTCTCTCTGGTGAGTACACCAATTTTACAACCTACATCGATGGACTCTGGATAGCTCTGAAACTCCTTTTCTGTGAATACTAACCGTCTCTCGAGAAGTCCCTGGAAGACAGTGCAGCCAATGTGAATCAGGTGTGGACGAATATCTGAACAATGTTCGCCTAATTTGCCTTCAACAATACCTGAAGATGGAATGTGCTTTGATAGGTGATGATCAACCAAAAATTCAATCATCTGATTGAAGAGCTGGGAAAATGTTTGCAGCTTGGACATTGCCTCTCGACGCTCTCCATCAAACTCTTTTCACATGATACACAGCATGGCTGTGTATATGGGGTAGGGAGCTATGTTCTCTCTGATCACATCGTTGTTCGATATGAATCGGTTCAGATCTTCAGAGGAAGCTGCATCTGGATGAAAGAACTTGGTGATGTAAGAAGAGAGGTTTTCAGCTGAGAAACCTTCTACAGCAATGAAAGCAAACACCTTTCTGAGATCGGCATTCTTCCTAATCTCATCTGATCTCCATTGCCTCGATGTGATTAGTACTGTCCCTGACTTGAACAGATGATTGAGAGTGATCAGGGCGATTTGCTGATTGCTGTCAAGATCGACAGCAAACTCATCTAGGCCGTCCAAAACAAGAAAAACGTCATCCGGATTTGAGAGGATGTGCTTGTCTAGCTGTTTGGCTGAGACGGGATTGTTGTCAGAAAGATACGACTTCACTATCTCTCCAACAGTATTGCCCTCTGTCTTGCGAAGGAGGATGACAAGAACCAGTTTGAAATCTTGGTAGGCTTTTCCGTGGATCCAATCCCAAGCGATCTTGGCGCAAAAAGTGGTCTTTCCTACACCACCTTCACCTTCTACCAACAACCGTTTGGGATAGGTTCCGTTGACTTTGGTCCTGAGGAGGTTATCGTAGAGAAGCGGTGTCTTGCGTTTTGTACCTTTGTCTTCTTCCATCAACGTTAGATTGGTGAAGATACGTTTGAATTCAAGTACAAGTTCACTGTTCAGTGGATCGGCTTGAATCTGGCATAGATGAATTGCCAAATAGTGTTTGACCTCTTCAGCAACCCGTTGGATTTCCTTCTCTGTCAGGGACGGTATGTGATCACCAACCTGACCTGTGATGAGAATGGTGAAGAACGTTGTCTTTAACATGACTAGAAAAATATGACCAGTGTTTTAATATCACACAACAGCAGTACTAGCATCAGCAGCAACAACATGGAAGAAATCACCTTGGAATTGCCCCCCCCCTCCCCTCGGTTCTCTCTCTCCCTCTCTCTCTCTCTCTCTCTCTTATAATGCAGTATCCAACAGTATCTATGACACCCTATAAATAAACGTTAACTATTGCAATGAAACTCCTTATATAGTAGCCTTTAATCATGGCGGCTTTGCTGCTCTGTCGATCCAATGATCGTCCTCAAAAATAGAATAGTCATCTGATTGCACGGAAAGTCGACACTTGCGTGCAGCTTGCTCTAAGTCGCCTTTAGTAACTTCCGAACCTTGTTATTGTTGTTCAGCATTATATGGCAATCAGTCAAATTCGACTATGATCACTATGTATTTTCTTTATAATTCTAACTTTAAATCTGAAAATTTATTGACGTCTTTTTTTTAAATTTCTTTTCCTAATGTAGGTTGTTAATAATGATAATATGTTATCGTGTTTAATATTTATAATACAACATTTAAGCTTTCTAGTCAGAATATAAGCAGAATCGGCTTCAAATCGTAGACGATCGCACTATTTGTATGACGTCACTATGATTCTTAGCTGATGTAGCTATTCCTCCTCGAAGGGAACGTGAAATCCATTCAAATTTCAATTGCATTCAGCATATGACTATTTAAATCATCGTTCATTAACAAATTTAAGTTTGAATGTTCATGTCAAATGCTATATATTGCAAATTATTCCCAAATTGGGTCTTAATCACAACGTATAGCAAGCGGAGTGCTTTAGAATACCAGTTGCTTTGATCTATAGCCTATCCATTATCGCATGTTCTCTCAACAGGTAAATCGTTAACCGGATTGTGTATCTATCTTTTTGTGTAAGTAATGATGATGTTACGTCCCCGCCCCTTTTTTGTCCATTCTTCTGTAATTTTAATCTGTATATCATGATGTTAAGGAAGGTAGAGAGAGGGTAATAGAGAATTGGAGAATGTGTATATTGTTGGAAAAGACGCATGAAAGCAATTTTTGTTTGTTGTATTCTCAATAATAAGAAATAGAAATAATAAAGGAGAAATCATATGTGTTTGTTTTCGGGGAATTTTAGGCATTTTTTTAGGGGGTAGGGGGTGTTATTGATGTAGGACCAAATATGGATATACCGGAACGGATATTGTTCCAACTAGATACATACGTACATACGTACATAGCCTTTACATAAACATGCTCAATGCACTTTACATTAATATAAATAAAACATAATAATTATTTTGCTCTCCAAGCGCATACACTGTAAATACAATTCATGGTTATGATTAAACTTATTAGAGTCTGTCCTTAAACTATGACTCTGAGACTCGATACGTATGTGAATATTACAGTTGGAATGTCAGATGCTAGCGGTTCTTTCTTTGCTTTATGATATTAAATCCACAAGTATGTCAATGTTACTATGGGTTATTTAGATGCTAGTGGTTCTGTGCAGGAATTTCCTGACGTTCCTTTTTTACTTATTGGAAATTCATTTTGTATTTCATATCAACTTTAGAGTCCAAACTGCGTGTCCTTGTATTTAGGCTAGGAATGGTTTAAGAGGCATGCCACATAGTAATTTTAAAACTTTATCAATCAATTATATTTTTCCACTTTGTTTAAGAATTGTGGACGCTTTTTGTGTACTGATATATATATATATATTTGCAGATATCATCTTCTTTTTTTCAAACTTGCCCAAAACATTAATTTGGTGAGAGTTTAAAGTGTTGTCTACATAAACCATATTCTAAAATCGATGTGTTCGTGCAAACAAGAAGTTACTAGCAAATAATCCACTTAAAATATTGGAGAGGGCCCTTCAATACTGTATAAGTAATTCATTTTGTTTTTAAAGTAATTTCGAACAATTGTAAGAAGTTATTTGATTGCAAGGTTGCTTCGAATCATTTATGTTAACATACATATTGATTTTTAACCATAATGGCTGTACGTATTTGACATAATGCTTTTTTTGTTGTTCTGTTTTTTTTTTTTTTTGTTAATTCATTTTCTAATGTTTGTGATGAGCTTCGATTGATGTTTTGAACAATCGTAAGAAGTTGGAGTTCTTGTTTTTGTACATGTATATGTTCCATCGATAATATTTCCGGTAAAATCAAATGATCTGTAGCATGATACAGTACGCAAAATAAGGGGGAATTCGAAATGTGGAAGAAGAATTTTGTTTAATTGTTTACATTGGAGAGTAAAGTTGGGTTTGTAAGTGTTCACAATGTTCCGAAGGGACATCCAGTTTGATACACATGTAAGTGTCTGTTTCCAGTATTGAAGCATGTACTGTGTTTGATAGGAAATCAAACGTTTTTGCTGTTTCAGGGTAATATGTATTCGGAATACATATACAGCTGTATTTCTATTTTAGCATGTGTATGGTGTACTGAACAAATAGGAAAGAACACAGGAGGGGAGAGTGGTCACGCCATTGAATTACGTTATGATCTACTGTACGCCATCTAATAAAGTCACCATGGAACTACAAATTCTCCTTAAGTCGCCTAGTGTTTTCATCCTTATTGGCTTAGCTCCTGGTACAGAAAATGAACCAATCAGAAACAACATCCTGACGATCGCATGGTGAAGGGCCAATGATTTTTTGGTGGTGGTGTTTTTGGTAAGGATGGTCGTGTGTGTACGCATGCATATGAGTAATACTGTACCTTTCTGTACGCTATCAGCAAGCTGTACCAGCTTAATTCGGTGTAACGTGACCACCAACGCCTCCCTCGCCTCGCTATCACATACTCTCTTCCGCCATTCGTAAAGCATCTTATAGATAGCATACAGAGTGTTGCCCATCTGATCTTTCTCAAACCGACTTAGTTCAGCCTCATTGAATCCTAAAGCTAGTCCGACCTTCCTAAAATCTGATGGATCCATACTGTCAGCAAGGAGATATAGTTCGAGGTCGGTCAGGTTCCCAGGTCTAAATCATTAGACAAAAGAAAGAAAAAAAACATATACAGCTTACATATATTTGTGAGGTTTTATACTCAAAGGAATTTCCTTTGACTATCATCTCGAGTGAATACCCTTGTTTGCATTGCATTAAAATAAGTTCCAACATTTGCTAGAATGCAAGCACTCCAAAAACATTGCAAAATAAGGACCTGTTAACATAACGGAAATACGCGAAACTTCTACTGTCACCATTTGCTTTCATTGATCAATTGGTATATTCCAATTAATATTTTTTACCAACAAATTCGTTGGCTCGTATTTTGCCAAAGTTTATAATCGGATTTAGAATGGAAATTAGTCTGAAGTTTAATGAAGTTTATCTTTAAATGTGATCTCCTACCAAGGGTCGGGCGTACCTCAATGGACAGAATAAGATCCAAAGTCGCTCTTTCATCGTGCTTACTTATCATTTGGGCCAGGGTTTTGTTCTACATCACCGGATCTCAATAGAAGTATGTTGGTCATGTCTGGACAGTCATTCCCTTTAGTTTCATCTGCTTCACCACTGGTTGTTCCTGATCCGAGGACCGGATAGATCGGGGAATCATGATACTCCGCTACTTCCTAAGAATGAAGAGAAAATTACAAATAGATGACACAATTTTAACTCTGAATACTATCTACATGTCATACTGAGATAACATTATTGTGCCACAATGTATTTCTTGCGGGGATCTTTATATCAATGGTTTCTAGTTTATTCTTAAATTCATAATACAACAATAATTAGCGCAGGCAGATGATAGAAGGGTGTACATGTAGCCATTGGACAAGGTGGGCGGGCAATTCATGATATTCTGTTACTTATGGACAAAAGACGATTTTCAAAAGAATAATCAGACATTATTTGAAGGAAAAAAAGGAGAATCACGGGAGTATAAGAATTCTGTGAAAGGGTTAAGGGAAATTTAACCACTATTTACGGTTGTCACAAACGTCATACCTACACTTTGCACAGCAAATTTAAAGAAGCTCTCCTTCATAATACATCTTTTTAGCTCCAATTTTCCTAGTTACATGTTCTGGTTTAAACCCCGTTTACAAAAAGAATCATTTTATACAGTTTTTATTCCGATTTATTGTTCGCATGTTTGTCTCACAGTTTTGATTCTTTGATGTTTTTATGTGAGTAGTGAGGTTCTAGGAAATGCATATCAATCATACCTTGATGGATGATGTTCTTTGGTCGGTATTATTCGTTGCATCTATCCTGTGTTTAGGTGATAGGTCCAATGATTGGTCTTCTATCCCCGACGGTGCAGAGTCTGATGTTTCCTCCTTGTCTCGATTGATACGATCTGTCTCGCCACGAACGTCTGCAGGTACATGTGAGTGCGACTCTGATGTGTCAACTTCAGGTTTGTCTGTTTTACTTATTTGAGCGGATTTCGGGGTGTATTCATGTGACATGAGATTAATGGCGATGTCTTTATTGTCCAATTCGTCTTCTACACAGGGTTGGGGAACTGGAAATGTCACGACCGTGATACCAGGGACAGGGTTGGTCTCTTTTTCAATTGAAAAACCACTGTTTTGAGCACATGAAGACTCAGAGTGAGAGACATCGTTATGACCGGGGTTGTTTACATCGCGTGGGAATCCACTCTCACTGACATCACACTCTGGGCCGTCAGATTGTGAGAGAGTCGGTGAGCTGGCGTTACCTTTGCCATTGTTGACGTCACGTGAAGGCCCTGTTTGAGCGGTATTAAGGTTGACATTGTAAGAAGATGCAGACTGACCGGTCGTGTTGCTTGGAGATCTATTCGCATCAGGAGAAGAGCCAGTGCGAGATATGTTACACTCAGGATTGTTGTTTTCTTTGGGTGGCTCAGCATTCTTGGCTTTTTTCATTAAGTTGTGAAGTTTCCTCCAAAAGTAGTGGTAGTCGTATTCTTTCCTACGACGTCGCATGAACGTGCCAATCCTGACACGCCATTCACCAAGAGACACAGGCATGGTGACATCAGGATACTGTGTTATTAAAGAGGAAAACAAAGATTAATGCAGAGTTAGTTCATGAGACGGGCAACATGACTTTGTATAAGAAAATAGTGTCACATCTTTGTACGGATTTATCTTAACATGCCATGTATGGAATACGTACTGATTTTAAATTACATAATATCTCATCTTTGAAAGTCAATTTAAATCATGTTGGCATAACTCTTTATATTCCGAAATCCCCTCGAGACAACTACCACCGGGAAAACGGCCCTTTCTAGAGGTGCAGTAACAAAAGCTTTATGGGGGGGGGGGGTAGTTTTTTAAGGGTTTATGGTTGTCGTAGATGTTTCTTTTGCGGGATGTAAGTCCGGGGTAGCCATCCAAAAAAATGTCCTCAAGCTATGGCAAATGCTAAATAATACATGATGTCAGACAAATTAGACAGAGTAAGACAGATTTACAATGGAGCATAGTGGAGAGTGGGTGTGTATTATGTGCGCGTGTTGTTTGTATGTATGTGTGCGCGTTTGTGCATGCAACACAAAGAAAAATTAATGCCGTAGATACTTCTGATACAAATGGAAAACAGAAAATACATTTTCTCTTTCATGGCAAGCAAAATAATCAGAATCATTGTCTGCTCTGGTCCATTTCGACCGCCCCCCCTCACTCAGTGTTATTTAGGGTACGCATATGCGTGTTCCCAGCACCCCGCCTTTTGTCAGCGTAAGTCCGCTGTGTAAAGTCAATACGGGTAGACCTTTTTCTTTTGTTATACGAGCCTTTTCAGCATCCCCCCCCCGCCATTTCTGCAAAAGTCCGGTGTGTAAAGTCTATACGGATAGGCCTTTTTCTTTTGTTACGAGCCGGAGATTTTGGGAACACGCATGGCATCCCTCTGCGCTTCCCGGAGTGGGGGGGGGGGGGGCCGGGCCATTTCGAAGAAAATGCCTGTTTGTTTTTTTAATGCACGTGGCATGTGGAGCGAGAGTACTCCATGCAAACATCGGACGGGCATTTTGCGAACATCGAGCACAGGCTTCTTGTGGTAGTCTTAAAGAGCAGTGTGGCGCCGTACACAGCTATACGCGCTGCTTGGGGTTGTGTAGTATCACCTTAACGGTTCAGGGGGTAAGGGGAATGTATGGTTTTAAAGAGGGTGCAATTAAGGCACTTGCGATGGATTGTAATGCCATTGTAATGCCATGATTACTATTTTAAGTAATAATAATAATAATGGTCATAACCGCATGCATGGACCTCTGATGTTTTGCTAGCTGTGCACATAATATACAAACGGATCATGCACGGATCAATACAGTTGGGATATAACTGTCTGTGTAACTTCCAATAAGCATGTATGCGTTATAAATAGTACATTGCTGACTGCAAAAAGTAATCAAGGTATCTTAAGTAACATCACAAAAAAAACAAAAAAAAACTGTCAAACTGTCAAACTGTTAACCTATTCAAAACTAGTCTCAAGACACATTTATTCAAAATTGCGTTTGATGATTAATTAACTCTGTACACTTTGACGTGTATTCCATATGTATTTTAATTTGTATGTCTATTTGCATTTTTAGTTTTGTATAAGATGTAATTGTACATCAGTCTATTTTGTGTGTATAGCGCTTAGAGACTTCGGTGGTAAGCGCTTTATAAGTAACGTTTTTATTATTATTATTATTATTATCACATTCATTCCGTATAGGTAGGTTTAAACGGACTTTTATAATCTATAATCTATTTCCAGTTATTCGATTCAATATCAATTCAATTTTTATTTCATTCAGTTAAAAAGACAACATTACATATAATAATCAGCTATATAATATAAAATACACATTAAGAACATATTGAACAAGGACATCAAATAAACTAAATAGGTTGCATTCTGAAAGGAAACATAATCCTTATACAAAGGTTGACCCTTTTTTATAATAAAAAAATATGAAATATATTCGTTACTAAACATACAATACACAAATCAAAACAATTAACATACAGACAAATAAAATATGTCAGGAATTCAAATGATCAATTTAACCCCCCAAAAATTGTATACCTACGTTTAAATAAATTTACACTAGCAGAATTATGTATATAATGAGGTGGAGTGTTCCACAGGAACGGTCCTTCGGAAAAAAAATTAATGTGTTTTGGTTTAGTACTGTATGAGTCATTAGCAAATGAAAATTTTGAGCATTTCTAGTATTATAACTATGAATGTTACAGTTTAGTATAAACTATTTGGAAATTAAATCAGGAAGAAGATTGTAATGACATAAACAAAAAACCTGCTTGTAATAAATATACATCCCTATATTGCAACATGTTTATTGATTAGAATATTGGGTTTGGCATGGGCAAGAAAAGAAGAATGATTAATAATTCTTATTGCACGTTTTTGTAATTTAAACAGTCTATCTTGATAAATTAATGCAGCATTGCCCCCAAACAACAATAACATAAAGTAAAGGTACACAATTGCATAGTATATCATTTCGAGAATACTTTTAGGAACAGATTTCAATCTGAACATGACAGTAATACTTTTAGAGAATTTGTTGCAGATGTCATCAATATGATTTGACCAAGAGAGGTCATCATCAATAATAACACCGAAGAAATTTGCTGAAGAAACTTTTTGAATATTTACATTACCAAGTTTGATTTTTATTGAATCTTTATTTAGTTTCTTCTTTGTTATACATACATTGACCTCATTATCTTTTTATCATTTTATATCGAATCATCTACTGTAATCTACTGAGCATCTTTGATAGCGAAAAAATATGTTTCAAATCCGAAATAATGAAAGATACAATTTACACTTAGAATTGTTTGTAAAAGAGTCATCGCTATGTCTAATATTCTCATGAGAATTTTAACATGGAAGCTTACCGTTCCTTAATGTTCTGCTACATCGAAAAACATGGTGAAACGGGGCCTTCAATCTTTCCCCTCATCAGCAGTGTTGACCGTGTAAACTGAATGTATCCCAGCTACCAATGTTCACGTGTATCTTGTTCAAATTTCAGTCAAAGTAACAGGTAATAACTCACTTGAAAGGTTTGTTCTTGAACGTGTGATGAAGAAACAAAATGAGGTTAAAATAATTATCTTGCGCACGATCAGAAACGGGAGGGGTGATGTTCTTATAGTGGCAAATCCACTATTGGCACTATATGTCGAAACACGCAATGCATATTCGCCCCAGAAAATATTCTCAATACAGATACCGTTTGCAGAAATATGTTATTATCCATAATTCGAGTCCCATGTATAACTAACGGACAAGATACAATGACTTAGATAATGAAAAGCACAGCGATGCATAAATCTACTTAGTACAGAAAGGTACGTGGTGTAGAGTGTGTGCGTGTGTGTGTACAATCTCTTGGCGCACCAAAAAACGAAACCTTTCACATGAAATGCTTTACAAAGTCATCGTCATAGCCATGCAGCATATATTTCAATACATATCTATTGCTTAGTCAGTTGGAAAAAACCATTGTGATGCAAATCATATATTTGGCCCGAGCTAGCTACCTGGGAGAGTACTGTAGATTGGGGAGCCTAACAGCGACAGAGAAAGAGAGCAATATAGAAAGAGAGAGAGAGAGGGGGGGGGGGGCGAGATAAAGCAAAAAAGGGGTAGGGGCAACGCAGGGATTTGGGAATCTGATCCCAGTTATTGGTAATTTGCCTCCCAATTATTATGAATGAAGAATAAATACAAGTAAATATCAATGTTCTTTGGTCCTATCATGGACCTCGACTGTCAACTTCAACTGTGGTGAGTATAGCATAATGTATAGTCTGCGAGCACAGACTCTAATTTGACACTCTGCCGCAATCCTAAAGCCTTGAGCAGAGCTTAGATGTGTGTCGGTCTCTAGCTGTATAAAACAACAGCTTAAGTAAAGTGCATAATTATTGTAGTCATTTTGCAGTCACTGTTACGTACAACAGCAAGGGTTCGTGCCTGTGATCTGGGAAACTTACGGAATAATATTATTTAGACTTTCCCAGAATCATACAGCTTTACAGGCACATTTTTTGCCTGAATATCAAATGTTCCAGGTTATGAAATATTGCGGTCGAGTCGAAAAAACAGACTTTTATTTAATCATCTGTGATAATATACAGACTTGCAAACTCGCGCATCGATCTCGCTGTCTCAATATAAGCTGATATAATGTTGATAGGGATATTTCAAATTTTAGGGCGGGGACGGGATAGCTGTAACCACCACACCCCGTCCCCACCGCATTGTAAAGCTTTTAGTATAAGCTTTTCATGTTATGGGTTTATCATATGGTTCTCTTTGATTTACTGATGGATAAAGAGCTATACTGACTAGCAGATCAAACGTATGTTATTGTTTAATAGAGATGTGAATTTGGTTTAAACAGTTACCAAAATCTTACTTACTCCAACCGATTTAGACGGACTGTTCATAGCTGCAACCTAATCATTGCTGCCGAACAACTTTTACCAATATTTGCCTTCATCAAAATAGCGAAACTTTGCTGACCGTACCCTTTTGCAGTTCATCAATGATCACGTTAATCACCTATTCACTGATACCATGTGTGCATATATTAAAACATGATTTTAAGACTTGCCCAAGGTTTACAAGGCATAACAACCTATATATCACATGGAAGATTTCGTCCCCATATATATGGCAATGAACTTTAAAGTGAAATAATTGATAGGGGTTCTGCTGTTCATTTCCAATGAACTGAAATAAAAAAGACGGTCTAAATTGGTTTATTGTTACAGTATTCGTCTCTCTCTCTCTCTCTCTCTCTCTCTCTCTCTCTCGCTCTGTTTCTCTTCCCCTCTCTTTTAGCTCTCTATTACGCTTCCCCCCCCCTCTCTCTCTCTCTCTATGGGATAATGCGTATACATTATGACGGGAAATAGACCTGAAGTGAGCAGGGGAACAGAAAAAAAGAAAGAGAAAACGGGGAACTCGGGGCAAAACCGATAAAATGCGGACAAAGAATATCGAAATTAGGAATCCATAAACATATCTATTGATATGGATCGAGCTACTCCTATTGAAGAGTCGGTCACGTTGAGTGATGTTATTTGGCACAACTTCTCGATTCTTTTGTAAAAGATTGAACTCCTCCTTTTTCCCTTCTTTTATTGGACAGGGGGCGTCTTCGTTTTAAATTCTAATACGCAGTAGATGTATAGATGAATATGAAGAATATGACATTCGATCAGATCGTATAGAGTAGGATTATCGCTGTATCATAACTGATGTCAACTCTTTTCTTGCTATCAAATTTCAATTTCTGTGTATTCTTCTTCCACAACTTAAAATAAGGAATATTATGTACGCCTCCCAAGCTTAAACTGGTACATTTTTTCTTCTAGGCGACAATATTCTTATTATTAGTTTTGTTCAAGTCTTGAACGCCTCATGGATTGCGAAGCATCTCGGTCTGCTATTCATATTAAACAATGATATTCTGAAATCGTTTAATTCAAATATCTAAATGTAAAATCTCGCACCCAAAGGCTCCATAGCTCTGCCATCCACACATCTTTCCGTTGTTGTGATACTCTCCCATTGATCTAAAGACTGATGTTGTGTCTTCATCTCTTAACCCGTTGACTACTGAATTATCTAATTCCCATAGACTTAACACAGGGACTACCAGGTTCCAGTAAGCAATGGGTTAAGACATGGCTCTCAAAACTTCAAGTCCAATGCAATAATGTGAGTTAAATTAAATCCAAAGACCCGATACTAATTGGCAATTCAGGAGAATGACATGTATTTATGTTTTTCATATTTTGCAATTCATGATTCTTACGGTATATTATTTGGATACTTGCGAATGAATTTCCCTTGATGTTATTCTTAATTGTTACTGAATAAAACAAACCCATTATTATATTTTTATGATGTTTGTTTTCTCCAAGTCAGCTCCATATTATCAGCCACTCCCAAATGTTGAAAATTGCCAATGACCTTATATCATACAATGGGATTTCCTTTTTATCCAAGTCAGTCCCATAAAATGTGGCCATTCTCAATATGTTAATTTGTAGCCACTTGCACAGCGCCCTCTTTAGCAACATGTACATGTACATGTATTCACTTCTTTTATTTTATCTAGAGCAATATGCCTATGCATGAAAACAAGGCTTGTTAACTCACTCCTCTCTTTTCTAATTGTTGAGGTTAACACCAATATTTTTAATCCGTTTAAATTATACTTACAACTAATTTTCCGTTGAATCTATAACAGACGACAGGTCGTTATTATTAATCGTTTTTCTTTCCCGGCATCCATGTGACTCTTTTAAAATTTGGTTGGCTCCGCTCTTCACTTTTTTCTTGAATTTGTTTTATGCTGAATAGATCAATATTGTAATAATAATAATAATAATAATATTAATCATGATGATGATCATCATCACCTTTCTCATCTGCAATTTCTTTCTACTATTAGATAATACATTTGATCAATCCTATTTTGATAAATGCAGCATTCGGAATCCCCCTTTCCATGTACATACGTATACACAATATACAAGACACTCTTTGAAAATAAAAGAATTAAATTATGATTACCTTGATAATCATCGAGTTGTTTCCGATTAAGATTTTATTGTACTGTTCATATACATGGACATTGCCCATTCTGTCAAAATATGTCATAATAAGTAAAACCAAATCTTGACACAACGCATATTCTTTACTATGATTGTAAAAAAATTGCCCAGATTAGATGAGAGCAACCCTTGAGACTTGAAAGCATTTAAAAGAAATATAGGGTAGTTGCATTCATGATCCCTCCCAGCATACAATTGAAGGGAACATACTAATTACTATCACAGTATCATATTCGAATATGATAACTGTACAAAGTATCAAAAATCATATACACTAATAATCAATAGAAAATGAGACATAAAACAGAAGTATCATTAAAACTCAAAACATAATATCTTACAATATGAGTCAATGAATTCTTGAGAACACTCATACAGTTATCTCATTAGCAATACATGTACTTGGTAAATATTATGAAAGAAATATTATTATATGCAAATCGAATGCAAAAACGAATGCTAGAAATCGAATCCTTCATCCATTTTAACATTGTCACATTGATAATTACATCACATTTCTACTTTTATATATATGCAGTGTCTATTCAATTCAATTTGATTCAATTTGCATTTTTCCAAGGTAACAACATGGAAATGTTACATAGGATTCGTTTGCAAGTAAAAAAAAATTTTACATATGTAAACAACAAAAACAGTAGCAATCGGAATACATAAGGGATAAATATACATGTACATAGAAGTTGACATCTTAGACATTAAAACGTAGAATAACCCATAACATGAGCACTAAGAAAGAGTAAAGGGGAAAGGTGTGATAGAGAAAGAAGGACAGCAGATCGAGGTGTGAGAGAAGGAAATGAGTCAGAAGAAGGGGACGGACACAGAGAGAAAGGGAAAGAGAGCTGATGCGAGGTAAAGAACAGAGAAATAGGAACGGCTGAAAGAAGAAAGAGAGAATATCATGAAACGATAAAGGTATTAAACAAGGTTATGAATTTTCACTATCAAGTTAGTTAACACATTCGTATATTGAAATGAAAGTGCAACAGAAGACAATTAAAAAAACTATAATGAAATAAGAAAGAACCGGGAAAGTAAGAAGGAAAAGAAAGAGAAACTGACATAGTAAATAGTGCTGAGCATCATTCATGAAATGTGATATTTAAATATGATATAGGTAGACAGGGTATACGTACGTGATGGTTTTCGAATTGGTTGCTATTTGCATATTCCATTCAAACAAAAGCTAACCTGCACAATATACAACATTATAGAAGATGGATCTATACAAACACACTATATTTCACCTGATAATTAATTAAATATCAGTTCTCGCATTAGATTATAAGTACAAGACTTGAACACAAACATGAGCAACATCTATCGATATTTTTAAGAAGGCTCTGAAAACTCATCTCTTTACATGAATTCTCCTCTATGTTTAATTTTTTAATTTAATTAATTGAATCTAATATTTTATATGGAATATCTAATTGTAGCCTTTAATTACTACATGTAGTAAAGACCAATAATATTATTTGATGTTAGCGCTCTGAGCCTTATGGGAATGGCGCCCTAAATGTTCATTGTATTGTATTGTATTGTATTGTATTTATATGGGCAATTAATGCACTCATATATGTACATATACATTTATTACAGTTATTCAATGTGAGCTGTTAAAAGCCCTTATGGAAAAGAGAATGAAGGATTTCAGATAGCGGTATGTTCTACACTTTGCAGATTTGAGTTGTTTACCTGATCGCATTCAACAACATTTAAGTTAGTCTACCTTATAAAGAAAATACATCCAGTAACAACAAACAACCGAGTAGTGAGCAAAATTGTTTTAAAATAAAATAATCAGGAATGCAAACAAAAACTTGTAGAGATTACATTTAGGCATACCACAACAATCGATTAAAGATCGCTGGGGATAATGAATAATACAGTGGCCTACAGTCAGTGGGATACAGGGGTATATACCACGAGCTACAGAGCATATAACACGAGTCGGTACGACGACTGTCCACCTGCATGCACATATGCTATTCCAATCACATTGACTATCGCATCCTCACCGGGTACCTAATTTAAAACACCTGGGTGGGGAAGAGTAATGTAGATTCAATGCCTTGCTCATTGATATGAGTGTCGTGCAGGGCCTCGAACACAAGATGTTTACATTTCCAGTCAATTGATGAAACCACTCGACTACGACACCTCTATGATGATGATGGAAAAAGAAGCAAGAGAATTCCGTAAATTAAAAAAGAACGTTAATTGCGCTGGTCCATGATTGATAAAACTCGACAATGAGGAGAGAGAAAGAGAGACAGCTATAGAGAAGGGGGTTATAGGCCTATATATCTGAATTAGAGACTGGAGTAACATTTATTGAATTAAACAGTTGTAGAATTAATTTTATTTCAATAAGGTGGAAAAACGTCTGACTAATACAAAGTTCAAAATAATATAATTCTCGGATCAGTATAGGTTAGGTAACATAACAATAAGTAAATATTTATACAGCGCATTATTAAATCCCTTTGCGCTGTACATGGTAAATGCAGAATAATTGTATTCTGAAAACTAAATACAAAAACAAATTTAGCCATACTCATAAAAATACACAAAAACTACAGATAAATTGGAACATACGCAATAAACGAAAAGATAGATACATGTACATAGATAAAAGTCAACAAATTTAAGGCACATTATATCATTTACATTTAGTTAATACAGCCTACATTATAACCACATTAAAATTGTCATGTTAACATATTTGTCAATTTATATTACAATACACAAATGAAGATGAATGTAATTCATCACTGCTAAATCCAAGATAATGGTTTCTAATATGTATAGTTAGTCATGTGTGCAACGAAATAGACCTACGTTGTAAATTAACGACGAACGACATTCTTTATAATCTAATCAATATATATAAAATACTCAAGTTTCAGTAAACAATATTTTGCTGATACCGAATGGAATACTTGATATTGATAAATCATGTTAATCAATACAAATACTCATAGTAATACCGCCACAACAACAAAATCGTCAATAAGACCACAACAATAACAACACAGTCAACTACTACTACTACTACTACTATTACTAGTGATAAATTGTGCCTTGGAATATTTTCGCAAAATGCGGTAATGTCTCAGTGCGCTATACAATAAACATGATAAATACAGAAATATTTTCAAAATATTAAGCTTTATGCTACATGAATTACTCTCAATTATGTTTTTGCATTGAATGTAATAGTGTACAATCACTAGTTGGACTTGTAAAAATACAGCTGATTGGATATTTAAAATTCCTATGCATTTATAGTTAGTCAGTAATTAATAACAAGATAAAAAGACATTCCTAAGTAAGGGCACAAATCATTTGCCTACGTTATTTACAAACTATCAACAGACACAATTACTACCTTAAATATATCAGACAAGATTGTTTTCCCTTTCAAAATGAAAATCATAAATCATAAGAAACCTTTAATGTGATACATGCAACAGTACATACACAAGATATATTGGATAAAACAAAACAACTATACAGTATTTTATTTGTGAATTAAAAGTGGTCTTCATTTGGCCTTTTTTTTGGATGGTCGATATAGGCCTTAATATATGACGAGATACATTCCTTTATTTCCTATCTATATTTTTGGTTTCAATTATCAAACACAAAGACAATAGGCCTGCAAGTTAGCAAATTGCATGACCTTGTCCAATTGTGTGTTGTTAATAGATGATGGGGTATTAATAGAGTATGAGTACGTGGCTCAGAATAGGGTAAATAGAAACGGTCAGCATTTTTGTTTTGACTTTTTGTTGGTTCGTTTATATAGTTCGTTCGTTTATACTTTTTATTCTTTGTATATATTCATTTAATTTTTTATTTTTGCATTACCGTTTGCATATTCTATATTGATATATTTTATTTTATTTCAACAAATTAATCTCACTTGTTTATGTTTGCCGTGTGTATAGTCTCTCATTTATAGCATCCCTTTTGGTTCTAAGGAGACCTGACTAATAAATAAATCATGAAATACAATTGATTTTAATGGCACAGACATCATTTTGACAATGCCTGCTGCACACGAGGTTGCGTTTAGATTGCTTTATTTCCTTGCTTTAACCGAGCTAGGTGATTCAGTTAGGACTATAACACCTTTAATTCTAAAATTGATTTGCACTGTTTGATTTGCATTAACTTTTCGGTGCGATATTACTCTCTTATGGTGCGTCAATGCCTCCGCCAGTCGCTGACGCAAGCATACTTTGGGCTAATTCTGCATCGCGTTCATTCTCTACATAGCAAATGTGGTGAGTAAAGCACTGCCAGTTGCACAATTCAAATTCGAATAGAAATATCACTGTATTTTTTATAATATTTTTATATAATAATTTATATATGATGTTTTATATTATATTTTCCATCATACCTTTAAGAAAATTTCAATCATGATATTTTTATATTTTCACCGTGTAAATCTACTTAACACCCTTTAAAGTATATTAGATGCAAGAACACTGCGAGTAACATTAAGAATGAAATTCAAAATCACAATCACAAGAGCTGCAATACCGATGTAAAGCATACACATCCGTCTATATCATATGAATGTCAACGGGACTCACTGCATGAATAATGAAATCGATTGCATGACAATGGTAAAAGCACAAGTTCGATGATGTGTTTGAGGCACTTTTCATTTCAGCCCACAATTCCTGTTTGAGTGCAAAGATTGTCAGCTCCGTCTGATTCGTCAGATCGAGTGTGGTGCCATCTCTATGATATCTAAAAGAAATTATCACTATAGTGATGGAGAGAAAGAGAGAAAGAATTGGAAAGAGAGATGTGTAAATGTCTGGATCAACATACAGTCAGCGCTACATTAAAACATAAAAACGTAGAGCAGTGAACGAAGGGCAAAGCAGAAAGCTTCAATAACACACAGCTTTACATCGATCAGAACCATCTTTACTCATTTGATTTTAAATAAAATTGAATTTATTTTCTTCTCCAACATGCAAATGGGCGAAATCTGTTTAATCTTATCTATTTAAAACTGAGAAAATGTCTAATACAAACATGCGCGAATAATGTAAAGAAATAGGCCAACATGTAATGAGAAAATAGTATAAATACCTTAAGTTCATCACTTCGCTAATCCGGTAATCTAAGCCAATTATTCAATATGCACCCTTGAACATTCATGGTACACATTTCCAAAGGAATATTAATTTACATGCACGCCATTTGTTAACTCTTTGTTACATTTTGCACCGATTAATTGATGAGAGACTATGAGTGGTACATAATGTCAGTTCCTATCATTCTCGATGAAAACGAAGAAAAACATTTAAACATAGTAACTAACACTTATTTATGTAAGCTTTGTCTATTATAGCATACACTCTAGTCAGCCAGTAAGTCGTTAGAGGAGATGTCTACCTTCATATTAAATATGTTCAGTAGAAGCAGAACAATAATAGAACAATTCGGTGAAAGTTTAAGAAAAATCGGACAACAAATAAGAAAGTTATGAATCTTTCAAAATCATGGAAATCATGGAATCTTTGTCATGCAATTACAGTTTTAAGATACTATGTCCCTTGTGCAGCCAATATCAAATTCTGAGAACTTTACAGGAACTATTAAACGTACGACCATTCGGTACAAAGGTCTAAATTTCAGACTTTTACTTAGGTAATTGCAATAACAATATGTCGATTCGACAACGAATAGTCGTCACAGTTATTTTCCAAAAAAAGCTATTTTCAAACCTTTTCGTTTTAAGGGAAGTTCTGAATAAGTATCGTCTTTTAAATGCTGTTGCAATTCAACCGTTTCATTTTTTGACCTGCAAATGGGACATGTAGAACCTTGAGCACTGCAAGCCTGGAAGTAAGAGTCTGAAGGACTTACCCACGTGGTTTGCCATGCTCCACCTCCACCTCCATGACCTGATCTTTATTGCAAGCAATTATGACACCATCCACGCCCTCATCTGACCCGCATCGTATGAATCTACCAATATCAAAATAGACGGAATACAGCATTTCTCCTTTCGTGCTTCTCGTGATTGTTCGTATTATTTCAATTTGATTCTACAAGATGGAAATGCTCATTAATAATTGAGTGTATTCTGGATAGGACTCAATGATGGGAGAGAGAAAGAGAGAGAGAGAGAGAGGGGGGATAAAGAAATGAAACATATCAAAGTGTCCTTTTAACAAATGACATCATTTCTCACCTGATAATCTTCAGATGTTTGAGGTTGTGAGGTGATCTGAAAGCTTGTAAGATAAGTTCCATCTTACTGTTACCAATGTCAAGATCCCTGAATGTCACCTTGTCAAACTGAGGGGAGATAATCAGGAGGGCTTTGGGTAGTGAAGTGGGCTCCTCGTGGAAACCAGCCGGTAGACCTGCACTCTCATGTGTTTGAATAGTGAGTTCTGTTGTTCCTGGTAGATGGATCCTCTGGATGACGTCACATTTGATCTTGCTCTCTACCTGTATAGTGACCCTCTTCACATTGTCAAACATTGAACCACAATCCTGCCATCCTTTTAGTGTGTCACAATCCACTGTCAGCTCAGTCAGGGTGGGGCTCGTGTTACAACTCTGGTCGTGATCATGTACAATTATTTAAAAAAAAGGAAATTAAAGTGCACTAGCAAATGTAGTAGGCTTGATTGTTTCTAATTATATACATGTAATTGCGTTCTTAAATTTTACGGAAAATGTGAAAAAATCATGAAAATCACTAATGCTAGCCTCATGGGTATTGTAAAATATAAAAAAAGATTTAAAAGGACATGAGCCGAATAAATGCGAAAAAGCTTTTGCAAATGCAAATATAAGTTGCATGATAGTCAAAGTTATAAGAAATGTATCATTAATTATATCCCAATAGAGATATGTTAAACGCAGGTACAGTTTATAGTTTAGTTTCAGTTTCTTTTATTTTACATGAAAACAAAACATACAATACTTTAACAAAACATAACATATTTATAAAATTGATATTCGTGAACCATAAAGACATCTACATAGCATAAGTTTGTATGGCATTTACACTAAATAATTTCGAAATTACATGTGAAAAAAGGAACTTAAAAAAAGCATATAGCTTGTAGAATTTAAGTTCCTCAAAATAATTTTGACATTGTGTCATTCATAATAGGGTAGAAATATAATAATAACAAAATCAGAGTATACATACAAAAACAATGAAATGATATGGATGATGTATGTAAGAAAGAAGATAAATAGGAAGAGAAGGTAAATAATGGGGGTCAGAAGAAGAATAAGGAGAGAGAAAAGGAAGTTTTTATAGTAGAATGTTGAAGGTCGGGAGTCACAGTCGGGAAAAATATAGTATCGTTGTGCATAACATGTACGAATTCAATAATAACAATTTGATATGTTTTTTAAAACTGCCACACTTTTTAAGCTGTTTGAGATTCGGATCAATGGTGCTCCAGTAGTTTGGTCCTGTGTATGAAATAGTTTTTGGGCGAAAACTGTCCTGGTTAGAGGAAGATGATAGTTTGTACGTGTTGCAGGTCGTGTTTGGTATGTGTGTACAGTGTCATTTTTTTGTAAAGAGTTCAATTATGGCTGATGGGAGTTCTTGGCGACACAGCTGAAACATGAATATACCGAGATGTGAAAAATAGAAATCTTTAACTTTTAAAGTTTTGTCTTTCGAAAATAAAGGGTCAGTATGTGAGCAATAGTGAGTATTATTTATCACTCAGATTGCACGTTTCTGTAAAAGAAGTATTCTATCGATATATGTGGTGTTTGAATTACCCAAGCAAGAATTCCACAGTGTAGATAAGGCAGTATCAGGGTTGAGTAAAGAGATAATAATATTTTGTGAGGGAATTGTAGTCTAAATGTGTTTATAATAATAATAATAATGGAGAGAAAGATGGCGCCCTACTAAGTCAAACCGTATTTTTTTCTCATCGTGGAAAATTTCTGTAAGATCATTTAAAAATGAGTGGAAAGAAAAGACAAATGGACAAAATGGACGTTTCATCAAGGATCTCCCAATACTTCACCCCTTCTGGCTCAATTTCAGGCAGAACAGAGATGGATATCGATGAAAACTCGGACATTCAACTTGAAAATCTCACTCAGCAGTCAGTGCTTACTGGAACCAGCGAAGCAGGCCAGGACTCGCAGGAGTCGCACCCCCAAGCTGTCGGGGGAAAGGAGAAGAAAAAAGACGAAGACGAACCGCGGGCAGAGAAGAAGCGAAAGATCAATGGAGATCAAAAGGTGCAGGCAAGTACAACCACTGAAGATTTACTAGCAAAGCTTCTTGACAGAATGGATCAAATGAACTCAAAATTCAATGACATAGTGGCCAGATTAGACTTATCCCTTACTCAGATTGATAACAATAAGAGAGAGATAGAAGAAGTGAAGGAAAAGCAAGAAGGGATTGAGTTTGACATTGGTTCAATCAAAGAGAAATTGCACGCACAAGAAAAGGAGAATGAGAAGTTGCGCGAACGTCTGACAGACCTATCCGCCAGGGGAATGAGAAACACACTTGTGTTCCAAGGCTTTCCAGAGGGTGCTGAGAACAAGAATTGTGAAAATTTGATCCAGTCATTTGCCAAGTCGCATTTGCAGATTGAAGCTGAAGTAATCATCGAAAGGGCACATCGCAGCGGAAGCACCTCATCACCTCGACCAAGGCCGATTATTGCAGCCTTTAATCGGTACTCGACCAAAAGTATGATCCTGGTAAATGCACGTCGCTTCTTGAAGGAGAAACCCTTTGAGCACAATGGAAAGCATCCTATTTACGTGAATGAAATGTTGCCCAAGGAAATTCGTGAACAACGGAAGAAGCTGATTCACATCAAGAAGAAGCTGAAAGAGGAAAATACGAGGAGAGCAGTGTACTTCAAGTATCCTGCTCGCATCTTCTACAAAGAAGGAAAAGACGGGAAGGAGAAAGAATACAAGATGAAATAACTCAAAACGTCAAAGGAAAGAAAATATTATCATTCCACATCGAAATGCTGGAAACATTAAAAAAACAAAAACATGAATAATGTTATAGAGCTGGACTTACCTTGCCTACTTAAAAACAAGAAGAAAAGTGAAAAAGGAATACTTAGATTAGGTTAATGACAAGAACTTAACTCTGAGAGTGAACTTTTATAGGTGAATATGTGGAAAAAGCACTCAAAGGAAAAAAGGAAAGACCACGATGTAGAGCGCCACCTTGATCTCCCTAAGGCATACAGAAGAACTAGCCTTTGTTATGATTTGTTTTTTGTGTTGTTTGTTTGTTGAACCTGAATGTTTAATATATGTTAAACCTGATCTTATAATGGTGGTATTTTTAAGTAATTCATATCTCAACTATGGATTTGAAGCTGATGACACATAATGTTAATGGATTGGGGGACTTTAAAGCAAGGAAACGTTATTTTAATTATATGCTTAAACAGAACAAAGATATTATCCTTTTACAGGAAACTCATTCTGTAGAAAAGGAAGAATCATTATGGAGAAATCAAGTTAGATCTGATATTATTTTCAGTCATGGAACTTCTAAGAGCAGAGGAGTATGCATTATATTAAGAAAGACACCCGATTTTAAATTGTTAGACTCCATTAAAGATATAATGGGACGATTTTTATTGGTAAAAGTTGAAATTCAGAAGAAAGTTTATGTGATATGCAACATATATGCACCAAATAATGAGAAGGATCAGGTTGAGTTTTTTAAGAAGGTGGAATTGACCATACAAGATAACGTTGAAAATGGGGAAATTCTAATAATTGGTGGGGACTTTAATTTAATTCAAAACCTTGATCTGGACAGGGCAGGTGGCTCAATGAAAAGCATTTGGAAGCACTCTGTGAATCTTATAGAAAATCTGAAAATATATTTTGGTTTGGTTGATGTTTGGAGAATCAGAAACCCCTGCAAAAAAGGATTTACATGGAGAAGGTATAACCCACTGGTGCAATCTAGATTGGATTTTTGGTTAATCCATGAATCCTTACAGAATACAATTAGTGAAAATGATATCATACCGTGTGTTTTGTCTGATCATGATCATGTTAGTTTGCACATGAAAATTAAGACAAAAAAATCTGGTCCGTCCTACTGGAAATTTAACAATAGTCTATTGAATGATGTGGAGTATGTTAATGCTTTAGCTAATAAATACTCAGAATGGATTGGTGAGTTTACAGATAGTAATGATAAAGGAGGGGTATGGGATTGGTTAAAGTTTAAAATTAGAGAATTTACTGTACCATTTTCTAAGAAGAAGAAATGTGAAAGGGAAGAGAAAAGAAAGGCTCTTGAAAAAGAATTGAAAAAATTAGATGACAGGATGGCAGCAGAAGATATAGATGAAGAATTAATGAAAAAGAAAAGGGAAATAGAACAGGAGTTGTTTAAAATATATGACTATTTTGCAGATGGGGCAATCTTGAGGTCAAGGTGTACATGGTATGAGAAAGGGGAAAAGAGTACTAAATATTTTTTGTCATTGGAAAAAGGTCAAGCAGCAAATTCCAATATTGATGTTTTGATTTCAGATGTAGGACGTATTGATAAACAGTCTGAAATACAGGATTTCATTAAGAAATCATATAAAACTTTGTTTGAGAACAAAGATAAGGTGGAAGATGAGGTGAGCAAAGATTACATAAGTCAGAGTAACATCAAGCAACTCACAGACGAAGAAAAAAATTCATGTGAAGGAAATATCACTTGCTCTGAAGCTAGGGCAGAATTGTTAAAAATGGCTAGAAATAAAACACCTGGGAACGATGGGTTAACTGTGGAGTTTTATGAGATGTTTTGGCCTTTGATATCAAAAGAAGTTATTGATTCTTTCAATTTTGCATATGAAAATAGTGTAATGTCTGTGTCACAAAGACAAGGTACAATTAAACTCATCCCTAAGCCTGATAGAGATAAACACACACTGAGCAATTGGCGTCCCATAACTCTTTTAAATGTAGATGTTAAAATACTTTCTAAATGCTTGGCGAAGAGAGTTGCTAAGGTGATAGGAAATTTAGTAGATAGTCAACAAACTGCCTTTATTAAAGGCAGATACATAGGGGAAGGAATAAGATTAATATCAGACCTCTTACAATATACTAAGGAGGAGAATTTGAGAGGTATTATGCTAGCCCTTGATCTATCAAAAGCATTTGATTCAATAAGCCACAGGTACATGCTAAATTGTTTAGAAGCGTTCAATTTTGGACCATCTTTCATACAAGGGTTAGAACATTGCACACTAATATAAGTAGTTGTGTATTGGTGAATGGATTTACCACTGGATATTTTCCAGTGTCTAGAGGAGTCAGACAAGGTGATCCTCTGGCTCCTTTATTGTTTATACTGAGCTTGGAAGTTATTCTTACAAGACTTAATAATAATGATAATATTCAGGCTTTTGAATTTAGTGGAAAACAAATAAAGTATACAGCATATGCTGATGACATAACTTGCTTTTGTAGGAATATACAATCAATGAAGATGGTTTTCAAAGTTTTTGAAGAATTCTCAATCATATCAGGTCTTTATTTGAATAAAACAA